ACCTGCCACACTTTAGCATGGATGTGCTGACTATCAGCGCCCGGAGTAGAGAAGTGTGGGCACCGGGAGCCATCAGCACGTGTGCTGTAGTTTAACTTGTACAGTGCTTTGCATAAAAGTCCGGAAACTGCGTTTTGCGCGTTTCTGTTTGTCCCAGCCAAACAATACCTTATAGGGTAACACCTGACCGAGGGCGCGACGGTCCTCGAGTCAGCCTATATCACTCCTGGGACACAAATGCCCGTCTCAAGGCTGAATAACGTTCAGATATGTATCTCTTCAGGATATCGAGCACGCAGAGGTCAAAATCCCCCAAGAACGACCCTCATACATGGATGTCGAAGCGTCCCGCCAACCAGTCAACAGCCCGCGCTACGGTGATCGACTACCCCATATAGGTTTGTTTGGCTGGCACAAACAACATTTCGCGAATCGCGGTTTCCGGACTTTTATGCAAAGCACTGTAAGTTCGCGACATCAGTGTTGTCAATGACTGAGTAAATACTACGTTATTACCGTGGGAATGACGTCGTGACCGTTATGACAGAAAAGTTGTCAGTTGTCAGAGTATTTTTCAGGTAAAGGGGGAGAGCCCCGCAGGATTCCCGAGCGCCGATCAACACTGTAAACATGTGCAAACCGAGCAATGCCGAAACACCCTAATGGGGTAAGCCCGAGTTGACTTCGACTATGACAGTCCGGAGTAATAACGGCAGTCAGTCCGTATTTACCGGCGTAAAGTGACCATCCGTCATAACTTCGACTATGACCGTGACAACACTGCGCGACATGATCATGACAGAATTGATGGCGCCACAACTCCGCCCACACTCTCAGAAAGGAAATTGCCGACTGCCGCTTGGCGGAGCGCGTCGCCTTCCGAGCGGAGGAGTTCCATCCCGCTCTGGTTCCAGTCTGTCTCTGCATATTCACCTTCTCGCTCATTCCATGGTTAACACGCCGGAGACCTCTGCTCCGAATGATATCAAACCGGGGAAACGCAAGGGCAAACAACGAGCATACGCGGAGTCCCCTACCACTTCAGTCTTCGACACCCCGAGCAAGGTGCCGCCGTCTTCGAAGGACAGTGACCCTCCAAGTACGCGACAAAAGCGCGTGCTGCCTTCTCGGTCGCGTCGGGGCGGCCCTGGCATAGGGAACTGCGATGTTGATATGATGATCCTGGATGCCTACAGGAGAAAGTGTACGTTCATAACTTGTTACAGGGAGTGTAGTTGACCGTCTACCCAGTCGAGAATGAACCTCTGATACCCGCCAACACGAGATTCTTGTTGACGACCAACTCCGCCCTTATACCCTCTACCTCAAGCTCTTCCTTCGAAATGCAACTGAACAGTCAGGCGTATGAACGATACTTCGACCGCCCGGAGGTCATCAAGGCGTACAGAGCGCAGCAAACTATACAAACTCCTGAATACTCCCTCCTATCGGAGGATGCCAGTGTCGGTAGCCGCTTTCGACCTCGAGGGTCCGAAGATGTCCGTCTACATCGTTTCTCTCCGTGTACCTACACTTATTGTTGCTATGTCCTCTTTCTTCACACAATGCGAACCTGCCAACCCTTTTCTGTCGCCGACAGCAATGCACAGACACGTCTGATGCTGCATACGAGAAGCGGCATCGCAAGTATGAGACGTTCGAGAAGCGCCAACGATTAAGAGAGAAGGAAAAACTCAAACACGAACAGTACAAGTTGAAGGAGCGCATCGACCAACTACGCGTCATGGACGCGTCCGCTTTTTTATGTCTGCCGGATTCCGCGTTGCCCCCGCCGGAAGACAGATATATCCCACACTTCGTCGACGACGAACTAAACGGCATCAATACTACTGCGGCCCACGCAGAAGGAGAAAGACGTCGGAAAGAGATGCTTGATGTCGCCAAAGTCTTGGAAGAGCGATACAACGTGCTTCTTCCGCCTGACCGGAAATGGTTGGAGAAGGTGAAGAATGGTTCCAGACAGAAGAGCATATCCTTTTCCATCGAACCCGAGCCCCAGCCTCGGCCAATGCCAGAGGAAGAGGAAGAGGAGGAAGATGATTATGATGAGGAAGAGGAGGAGGAAGAGGAGGAAGAGGGAGTCGGCGGGTTCGCACAGCAAGAGGAGGTCACGAAAGAGGAAGTCGAGCAGAAGGTTGAAGAAGCGCAGCAATCTCAGCATGAGGATGGGGAATCTGAAATTGACGTGGAGGAACGGAAAGCGACGGCTCGAGGATCGCCAGAGAAAATCAAGTTAAAGATTCGTCTCCGTCCCAGTGAAGTAGCTTCAGCAACCAGACTCAGCAAGCTGAAGTCGTCCTCTAGCCTACCGGGGACACCGTCACGGAATGGCGCTGACTACCCTGCGTCAGGTCTGTCTTCTCTGGTCTTCTTACCAAATGCCTTGAGCTCACAATGTATCTAGCAACAGGGTCCTCGGTAAGCGTAGTACAACCACGAATACGGTCGACAAATGGCAGATTTTCGCCTCGCAAGAAAGCTAAGCTGCTCAGTGAGGTCGACCGGCCCTTAGGAAGAACTGGTCGCAGAATATCTGCGCGAGGCTCCGAAAGGGCCTGGAGTCATTCCGATGTCACGAATGATGCTCAGGATATGTCGGTATCCGCGGGACGGAGCATCTCGTCAAGACTCGAGCGTAATACGTGCATTCTGCTCGCGACTGCACAAAGAAACGCTGGCGAACCCAACGTGCGGAAGACTCAGCGGCATCTGACCGCCTTCGGATTGAAAGTACCTTACGAAGTGGAAGAATTTCGAGACTTCGAATTGCCTCTCTGGCTACGTCCAGGATACGAGAGCGAGAAAGAGGATGCTGAGGACGATCGGCAAGTCGCAAATGGCCATCGTGTTGTTCAGCCCATAGAAACCGATATGACTGACGTCACTGCCGATGACTCCCAAGCACGACGAGAGTCGGCCAGCTCTCCCGATTTGAAAGAGGTCGACATACCTCTCGAAGGAGGCTAAGCATGCGAACCAGTCAGGCGTATACCCGACCATCCGTTCGTAAGACTATACTTGTACCCTTAGTGTCTGCGTGACTTTCATTATTTTTTATTATTATATTGACCCGACATACGTATAAAGACGATCTACAGTGAAGAACGCGCATCTTTAACGTTTCCTGAATATCTTTTGACGACATCCAGAGCAGTACGCTTACTGGCCAGTCTGGCGCTCCGCTGTCTCGCCAGAGCGAATTCAGCATATCCCACGGAGCCCAGCTGTTGGCTGTCGATAAGCTGCGAGTGGAAGTGAGCCGGAAGATAGCGGGAGTAGTCGCCGGCATTTTGTTCTAGCAGTGACTGCAACCTGGGAGACTGATCTGCCTTGGAATTCGAGCTCGCCCTGAACGGGATGGTAGCAGTTTCCTCGATTGCAGGTTGACTGAATAAAGAATCCAATGCATTGCTGTCCAGCTTCACCAGAGAAGGTGAAGGCAGAAGTTTACGCTCGGTGGTGGGCACCACGGGCTTCTCGTCATCATCTGGTTTGGTCACTGATTGGGTGACGGAAGCAGAAGGCGATAATTCCGAACGTCTCTGCATGGTGAGCCTAGAGGACGATGGCGACTGCTCCTTCGTGTCCGCATCATCGCGTATCGACGTGGTCCGCGTCTTTGTAGAAGCGTCATTCCGCCTGCCTTGTGCCGGGGCTCTATCCGAACGACCCCCTTCCTTTCCCTCTCGCGACCGACTATTATTCCATCCTGACGCAATTGGAGCTTCTTTTCTCAGCTGATCGGACCGCCGCTGGAGTTGTAGTCTGCCCAGACTAGGAGAAGGCTCTCCAGCTAGGGGACCAGTAGGTCGTCCCAGGCTTGCTTGACTCGCTGGGTACCGGGCTTCAGAGGTCGTTGGATTGTTCGCACCTTCGCTGACTCGCCTGTGCGCGAGACGGCTGGCCAAGGTGGATGTCCCAGACTGCTTTTGTATCGAATAACGAGGGTTGGGCTTCCACTGTCCGGCTGGCGCGGGTGCTGGTACAATCCGCTTCGTTGGCGTCTGTGAAACATTCTCTGACACAGCACATAAGAAACTAACAAAAGTTACAGCAGCTATGAAGACTCACGTATCGAGATATCACCGAACATGTTTGCTATAGGAGCTCTGCTGCCAACACGTCTCAGCGGACCATTTTGACTTGGCTCTGGAGCCGCCAAATCAGAGTAAAAGCGAGCGGTTAGCGCATTTGCTGCATCAGCTCGCGTCCGTAATTGCAGAGAGAGCGACGGCGGTCGCATGAGAGAGCCTGAGGATGCCTCCGAAGAGTTGGAAGAACTTGAGCCTGAAAAGAAAAGTAACGGCTAATTTGGCAATTGTGGCGGGAATAGCCTCCGCAGGACTCATCGACGATTAGTATGTCGTGTTGCTCGTTGCTCTGCGACTCGGTCATACGCTCATGGGACGAATCCTTGGTCGTCTGTTTGTCGGATTCACTACCTGCTTGATCCTCTTCATCGCGTATTCCTCTCAGATATTCATAATATGGCCCTGGTATGGCCGCGAGCTGTCAGTCCCGCTGCTGAGTCTGTTGCTCCCCTTCAAGTACGTTCAAGAGGTTATGTTGGCATCGCAAGCGCTTATGACACAACCTAGCACTCTGGTAGGTATGCTGCTATGGAACTACTCGCTTTGTGTCAGAACAGATCCTGGGTCTGTTCCGGATTCTTGGGTGAGCAGCTCCGTTACGCCTCCCCCTACGATGAATAGCAAATGTGCCATTCAGGTCCCAGATGTAAACTCTGGGAATGGATACGAAGTGAAGCGATTGACGGGAAGACCCAGGCATTGTCGAACGTGCAATAAGTATAAACCACCCAGAGCGCATCATTGTAGGCAATGCAACAAGTATGTGGCAGATGTGCAGCTCCTTGAACTCCGGGTCTGACTGGCCATCATAGATGCGTGCTGAGAATGGGTGTGTCTCAATGTCACCCCACCTACCATATTTGCATAGAGACGAAGCCTCCTAGATCACCATTGCCCTTGGGTTAATAATTGCGTCGGCCACTTCAACTACGGCCACTTTATAAGGTTTCTCTTCTACGTCGACCTTGCCTGCTCTTATCACCTGGCTATGGTCACTCGTCGCGTCTTTGACTGGATGGATGTTAGTCGTTGGGTATGCGAGCCTTCCCGTAATCCCGTTGCTGGTTCTAAGCAACGTTCAGGATGAGCCGACTACTAGGGAACTCGTCTTCACCATCCTCAACTATACGGCCTGCATACCAGTGATCCTGTCTGTCGGCGCCTTTAGGCAAGTCGTGTGGTATACGGCCTCGAGTTTTACTCATACACAGTTGCTGCTAGCATATATCACTTCTATTGTTTAATTGGTAATACTACGACTATCGAGGGTTGGGAGAAAGACAAGGTTGCTCGCCTTGTCCGGCATGGAAAGATCAGTGAAGTGCGTTGACATTACATGCATCGAATTGGTGGCTAACGTCAGATTTCTTACAGGTCAAGTTCCCATACGTGAGTTTCTATGCTGCACTGGGTTGGCACAAATTTTATGAACTGATCCTGCATTCCTGTAGAACTTAGGTGTCCGGAGGAACATTGCATCAGTACTCGGTGACAATCCCTTGCTGTGGTGCTGGCCGACCGTGCCCCCTGGGACTGGGCTAAAATACCAGCTTGCCGAATCCAACGGTAAGTGGATGGAGTTAAGTAAATCCAATGTACGGCAGAACAACTACGAAGATGGTCACTTGGAGCCTTGAATCATCTTGCTTACTCCCGTGAGTATGCCGGTTCTTAGCAAGACTGTATGACTTATATCGTATGTAGTGTTTCTTGCCTACCTTATGTTATACCGTCCTGCTTCCGGATCCCAGTCACTCACGACGTCGTACAGAATCCCTCCCATCAATCCCTTGGCCGCCCGAAGATCCTGCACACCAGCAATACTCGGACGAAGACCACACGTTTGTGCTCCCAGACTCGCCTTGGACGTATGCAAATGGCGCATTGAACCCAGACCTTCGACCGTCGAGCGCTCGGACCCGGAAGTCAGACGGTGGCCTACGCCAACGTGGTCCATCTTCGCATTTGGCATTACCACCATATCATCCCGACTACAACGAAGCTGCGTACGTGGAGCGTGACTCAGGATTCTCGTCTACTTCGGGGTCGGAGGATGAATACACTCCCGCCAATGACAGGCAATGGGGAATCAGGGTGCGCCGTGGCTCCGAAGGCTACGAAGTGCCCATGATAGATCGCGAAGGGTTGTTACAACGGTATATACAAAACCAGGCCGGTGAACCTGACAGATACCAGAGATACGTCCCCGAGCCTGATAGCGGTAGCAGTGGTGACGAGGACAACGAGGACCTGCCACTTGCCCAGCGGGCTCAGGCATTGGCAGTGGAGGTCTAGTCTTTCAACGGGATATGTGGGATATCTAATCTTTATAATGTACCAATGGACATCCTACACTAATGTATTACTATATGCATAATAGCGTCAAAAGAAAATCAAGAAAGCACGAACATCAGCAAATAAATTACACCAAAACAGCAGAGCGGCATGGCCCGAGGACTTGGTAGAAGTGGCTATAGCGGCGGGCGGTCAAAATAAACCTTCCATATTATACCTCCCTGCTCGCCAATCTCCAGCGTGCTGGCGCCCACGGGTAGGTCTGCTTGCCATTCCGTGCCCGACATTGACCTGACCAAGGATCCATTTAATCGAACCTCGACCGCCTCGATACCCTTGCTTGGTTTCCCGTTAGCCTTGACTTTGGCGTCGACTGGTGTCGCCTCTGTCTTCTTGGCTGCTGCCTTGGCCCTTCCCTTCCCCTTTGTGTCTGTGGCAGGCTCTGATTGCTCCTGCTCTGGGGGCTTATCTTCTTCCTGTTCGTGCTCATCTTCGAGAAAAGTGACATCCTTGATAGTCACCACTTTTTCGCCGTTTGTCAACCGCATTGCCCAGCTCTTTACCCCATCCTCGACGTCAAGATCCATCCGACGAGTGGTCGGGTTGGTGATTATTGAGACGTGTGTCAATTGACGACGGGGCCGCGACGGCGTAGGAGCAGGTGATTTAGCGATGGAAGATGCCTTCTGGGGAGTTTGATCAGGAGGAGCGGTCGTGACCGTTATCGGCGGGGCAGGTGCTATGGCCGGAGGGGCGGGTGTCGTCGGCTGGTGGTACATGGCATTGGGATAATGCACAGAATACGAAGGCGCATGGGTAGCGACTGCTGTTGAAGGGCCCGCTGTGTTGTTTGGAGCAGCCTGGGGTTGAACGGGATGGGCAGCTGGAGCCTTCGGGGGAGCAGTGCCTGGAGGAACGGAAGGCGCAATATGTACTAGCGAGCCCATCGCTGGCGACTTCACTTCTGCGGCGATGGTGTCGGCGGCCTGTGCTTGATTCAGCTGGGAAGCAGAACCTGCAGGCGGTTGAGGAGCGCGAAGGGTGAGCTTGGGCGAGGTTTGTTCCGCCTCTGAAGAAGGGCCAGGTGCCGGTGCGAGTTGAGGCTGAGGTGCTGCTGGCATCTTCAGCTTGATCTTGCCGCTCGACTGGGCAGGGGCAGACTTTGTGGGGGCCGCGTACTCGGGAAGAGCGAAAGGTGGTGGTAAATCTGACATCAACTTGCGGAAGTAATCCTACGACAGGCGAATGAGCAGCGGCACAGTGATGTGGAGCGATGTAACCTACTCGCAGTACCAATGCATCCTCCCATATCGGTGTATGTTCCTGGTTGAATTCAAGAGCGTTGGCAAATACTAGTTCAACGTCACGGGCGAAATCAGCCGAATTATGATATTCCTTTCGCTTGAGGCGTTTCTGCGAGAGCATGTCAGGTGGAGACCAAGAAGGTATCGGGAAGCTGCCTACGAAGATATTCTCCAGACACTGGGGACGTTTGATGGTCTTGTAGTATACCGCCCATTGCTTCTTGTTCGGCAGCTCCATGAATTCTTCTGAAAGAACTCGGCCGCTAGAACCGGGAGGTTCGATTAGTGACGTGCATCCTGGGTCAGCACAGTGCATACCTGTCATCGGTCTTCTCCACCAGCTTCTGCAGTCTACTCTTCAGCAGTCGGTTCATATTTGGCGTCTTGCCCTTTGACTTTTTGTCGCCCTCGTTATCTGATCCCTCGCCAGCAGCGTCGTGCTCCTTCTCTCCAGCCTCGCCGGTATCTTCTTCCTTGGTACCGGTCATCCTGGCATACTCCTTCTTGACAAGTTTCTGGGAGCAAACGCATGAGACAGGCTGACCACAAAAGGGAGCTTCGTGGGGGGTTCAACATTGGTCGCAGTGTTCGAGAAGACAAGACAAACTGTATCCGCGAGACCCAAGACTACGCAAAGACAGAGGTAGGTTGAGGTACTCACATGCAGCGTTTTCGCATCTTTCCATATCTGACTGTCCTTCATGTTATACCGCTTAGCGTTATGAAAGACCATCTCCAAATCCTGCTTGACACTTTCCAGCGAGTGGTACCCTCCATTCTGCAGCTGCGCCTTGATCTCGTCCAGGGAAATGGGCTTCTTTATCAACTTGTAATAATCCGGATACTGGCGTTTGGACGGCAGGCGCATGAAATCGACCGACAGGACGCGTCCCCTGCGAGAGGATCAGATCCATTGTGAGCAGCGGAAATAAGGACATATCGAAAGGAGAGGCCGCGGCAATTCCTTTAGCGGTCGCATATACAAGGAGCGTGGTACCCACTCTTTGTTGACCGCATCCTTGATCGTCTGCCACAGCTGCATCCCCTGCTCCTTCACGCTCTCACTCGTCTCTTTATTATCGCTCGCGCTTCCACTGGCCTCCGCCACAGCACCGGCGCCACTGGCGTGATTCTCGCTCGGGCTGGCGGCGGCGGGAACGTCCTTGCGTCGTTTGGCGCGCGGTGCGTCCGGGTTCACGTCGGCGCCGGCTATCGCGCCCAGCTCCCTCTTCATGTTGCCCATGCTGGATGGCTCTTGGGACGCGGAATGGCAGATGTTATCGTCAAATAATGGGGAGATATTCTGGAGATGCTGGGGCGACTTCCCTCTGACACGGTCGCCCTGGTGTCCAATCGGGCCACAGAACCTCTTGTGCCGCGCGGAGCACGTGACCTTGTCACACGACGCGTCACTAGCGCGTCCTCCTTTCACTGCCGCATTTCTCTTCACATACGAGGCTACAGAGTTCATACTTGAAGTGCTTGCGCACTTGTCTACTGATTTCCAATTGCAGTATGAAACACCTGTACAGCATAACACTTTATTCTACCACTGCGTCTTCAGAAACTAGTCTAGCAACCCGGAACTCCCTCAACCGCTTCTTCGCCGCTCTCGAATGGTTATTCAGCCCGCCGTCAAACGCCCAGCTCGCGTCCCTCCAACTAAGCCTTTCTGGTTCTGTACCTCGCCGCAAGGAGTACTCGCGCAATAAACGCGCGCCGCCGGGCTGCAGGCAGGGTGTGACGACGAAGACCAGAAGACGAAGAATAGTTACTCACGTGCTCCTTGAGATACGCCGTAGCGTCTACCAGAAACCCTTCTATCAGCAGTACACACCTCTGCGGGTTCTCAGCCACATATTCTTCTGCCTTCTCCTTCGTCCACACTGCGCCCGACCACTCTTCCTCTTCGTCGTGCGGGCGATGGCGATCGCCACGGCTCTTCTCGTGCATATACTGCCGCGCATCTTCGATATCGTCTCCGCGCGCTGTGCGGAGGCTGTACACGAGTCCGAGACGGTGGAGAGCGAGGATGATCCATTTGGAGGGATCCCAATCTAGCCATGACGGGCCGGAGCGGAAGTCATGTGGGAAGGCGTGCTAGGTAGGAATGGTAAGCATATTTTTCCGTCCGCCTCTGGGTTCGCGGACGTGTAACATACGTGCTGTGGTGGGACCTCAAATCAACCTAGGGACCTCGGTGAGAATTGAAGAGAGCTTACGAAGTTGTGGTTGCCCTCGCCAGCGGTTAGGACAGCGAGAAGCTAGACGCACTTCGTCACAGCTCTTGGTAAGGCGGATAAGCGCGACTTACGAAGTTGCCCCGGGAGGTGTTCTCGTCTGAATATGGCTGGAGGCCGTCCCAATGCGCCAACCTGAAGAGCCATCAAATAAATTCCCGTGAACTTGTTAATATTGCCGATGTACTACTGACGAGTTCACGAAGAATGTACAGTGCCAAACTGGGGTTCGTGCGCATGTGTGAATGCGCTTCATTCGTCATTGACATGGAGAGGACCCGCTCACCGAATATTCTCGCCGTCAATCCCGCCCAGATGAAGCTGCCCATGGCATCGCCCCATAGAGCACCGAGGAGCGTAGGAAATCCCAGACCGAGACCAATAGCCAGAAACACTGACCACGCGGGGAGAAATCAGCATATATCATACGGAACGAATATGAACGTGATTTCATACCGAAGTATTTGTGCTGCCATGCGACGACTGGATGGAAGAGAGGATGTCAGGATACAATAAACTCGTCCCTCGATGGTGAACAAAATGAAGTTACCTGGATCGTTCTCGAGGTCTTCCTTGTCGACCAGCGCCATCTTTTCGTACACAGGCTTGAAGAATATCCAGCCTACATGTGAGAACAGGAGACCGCGCGTTGCGGAATATCTGTGATAGAAACTCATGTATCAGACCCTGGATGTTGGGATATCTGGGGTACTCACGGGTCGTGTACTGGATCATCTGTGAATCTCTATGTAGGTTCCGGTGAGTACAGAATATCGGAGGAAGACGTAGGGGCATACATGGTGCAACCTATGTCTCAAACACCTACGTAATGGAGTCAAGACGGATGCCGGCAGGTACTCTGTCATGCACCGATGCTTACCACCACTGCAGTCACGATCGCGTTGTCCAGTTAGCGGCGATCAAATAAGCGCGAATTCCATGACGCACTTTGATAGATCCTTGGAAAGCGGAGGAGCCGAGGATGGCGAGCACGACTCGGACGCCTGGCTTGGCCCTGAATGCACGGTGCGACCACAGCCGGTGGTAACCAATAGTGATCCTGAGAGGTGATCCTAAGCTGCAAGTCATGAAATGGACGAGAGACTGCAACGCACCCGAACTCAGCCAGCTGCCATAATACGAACGCGAGGACAAGGGTCGCGCGTGGTACGGCGTAGACGGGGCGGTAGTAGATGCCCACAAGAGCAGCTATATGCGCGCCGACGAAGAAGACGGCGTTGCTCCACCATACCTTGGGCCGGCGCGTCTTGAAGGCGACCTGGGGCGAGGGGGTCATTGTCGGGGTTCAAAGAGCGTCGGCGCGATTATAGGATATATGCGCGTAAATGATGTTGGGAATGTCATGATGAGTGACAAATGCCGTGCCATTGATGGTGGGGAACGATCGCGGTTGGGCTGTTGTGCTTCCGAAAGTGTAGCATCGGAGGATCACTACGGGAGTCAAGGTGATGTCCTGCCACGTGTCTCGCGGTCCGCCTTCCTTCGTACTCTCCATCGGTGGTCAGTCCGACTGAGGCCTCCACGGCATGAATGCAAACAGTCCCGGTGCTGACTCTCCCCGTGCGCGGTCAGTCGTGCCGAACTAATCTTTCGAATTCAACGCAGCTTATCTTATCTAGGCTTCTCAATGATCGAGCCAATCAACTACGCTCTGATCGCCACACTCACCTCCGGTGCCACGAAATGCATCGGATCGTGCTTGAAGTCTGCGTAGACTCTGTGGAATCAGCCGTTGCGTAAGTTTCCTGTCCGTCGTTCTCCGAATGACTCGTTCAGTAATCGGTCTAACAGAGCCGTCAACGGAGGTGCTGACCGTCTAGAGGTATGCGCGAATATCGGCGTCGGAGGGGGCACGACACCAAGCATGGGTCTCCTCAAGGCCATCTCCTCCGTTGTGCCTCATACCCCACTTATGGTGAGCCAATTCCCTTATTGCTCTCCATACGGTGCAACTAAATTGATATACTTGGTAGGTCATGATTCGACCGAGGATCGGAGACTTCCTGTACTCCGGGTCTGAATTTGATGTAATGCTGGAGGATATACGGGCATTCACGCAACTAGGCACCGCCTCGGGCATTGTCTTTGGCATCCTAGATGCAGCCGGAGAGGTGGATGTCGCGCGTTCGCGCAAGTCCGTCCGTTCATGATACCTGATACGATATTGCCGGCTAAAATGCATGCCTCGACAGGATTGTGGAAGAAGCTTCTCCCCTCCAAGGTACTTCATTGTCAACAGAGAGTGATATAGCTGAAGCGCGGTTCCATTAGTTTGTTTCCATCGGGCATTCGACATGACGAGGGCCGCGGAAGAAGGTAGTGCATGTAGTATCGTACTGCTCGTTCTGCTTATTGGTCTCACTTCAATCTCATAGCATACGACATGGTAGCCTCTATCTCCGGAGTTACCAGGATATTGACGAGGTATTTCCCCCCCTAAATTGAGGGACACACGCTCACATAGAACCATTCCCAGCGGCCTGTCTCCTTCCGCTCCTTCTTCCCTTCCAACTCTCTGCTCCCTATTTCGCTATAGATCACGCCCGAAGGCGGACTCCCGTCAGGGTCCTAAACTCCTAGTCGGCTCCGGAATAAACCCCGGAACTATCCAGCCCGTATTAGACGCGCTTTTGTCTCTCGGCCTGGAAGAAGTCCATATGAGTGGAGGGCGGTGGGTGGAAGGCGGTATGCAATTCCGACGAGACGGGTTGGGTATGGGTGCCGGACGACAGGTCGAATGGTCGGTCTGGCGTACAAGTGAGCAGGCAGTGAGGGAGGTCAGAGAGATCCTAGACAAGGCTACCGTACATGCAGCATGAAGAACCCTCGACATTGGCCCTCCGGGAGTGTATCTCTTCAACGGCCTCGAATATCGGGACACGCTACTTCATGCATTATTCTAGTTTCTGTTTACTCAGTTCTTTTGAGCGGCAAGGTAGGATTGCTCCTTAAGGTCCTTTCCTGCCACCAGTCTCCCTCTGACGAACACCTTCCTGATGCTCCTATCATCACCCAAGAAAACCCACTTCGCCACCAACGCCCTCCCGTCCTCCTCCCACCCCTCCACATTCACATTATCATCCAACCCCACATCCACCACCAGCGCATCAAACTCCTTCCCAGGCTCAAAGTTCCCCACCTTCCGCTCGAGGCCCACAACCCCAGCCCCGCCCATCGTCCCCAACCACACCACCTCCTCCAGGGCCAACTTCAGCTTATCATCCCCAGTATGCATCACGCGGTGGCGCGAGACGTTCGACGCCTGGCGCATCCCCTCGAGGATCGACGGCGAGTAGCCCGCGCTGCAGTCCGTGCCGAGCCCGACCTTGATCCCGCGCTCGAGCAGCTCGCGCACCATGCACTCCCCGTCCGTGAGGCACGTGTTGCTCGTCGGGTTATGCGCGACGCCCGCGCCGCGGCGCTGCAGGATGGACATGTCCAGCGGCGTGAGGTGGATCGCGTGCGCGACAACGGTTTGCGAGTGCATGAGCCCCACGGCATCATAGACGGAGGCGTAGCAGGGTGCGTCGGGGTACATCTTTTTCATGTACTCGACGTCCGGGAGTGCTTCTAGGCTCACGTCAGGACGAGTGTATGCGCGACTTCGCAATAAAATGAGGGGTCGCACCCGACATGTGCAGCTGCACGGGGATCACATCCCCGCCTTTGTTCTGACTGAGTTCCCCCAGCCCCTTCAAATACTCCGGCACCACATACGTCGCCCCCCGCGGCTGCACACACCCCCTCACCAGTTTCCCCTCCGGATCAATCCTCCGCGCATACTCCACCACCTCTCTCGAATGCTTCAGCCCCTCCTCCACGCTCCCTTCCCCATTACCCGCCGTCACCCGGTGGTTGATGCAGAGCTTGCCCACGAGCGCGCGCTGCCCGTGCCGTAGGCACGCGTCCATGAGCACCTTCGTCGCGGGTACGTGGATGGTGGAGTTGTACGCGGCCGTCGTCGTCCCGTTCTCCAGCAGCTTCGGAACGAGCGCGGAGTAGACGCGCTCGGCTTTGGCGGTGTCGGCGTAGGAGGCTTCGATCGGGTCGGTCATGTGCACGACCCATTCGCGGAGGGGCCATTCCATGCCCAGGGCATTGTTGGGCCATTGCGGGGCGTGCTATCACAGAAGGTCAGCTTTCGAGGTGGATTACTTGGATGAGGATACTGACGAAGTGGCAGTCTATCAGACCGGGGAAGAGGAACTGTAGCTTCCCTAGCACGACGACAGTCGCGTTTTCGAACCCCTGAGCTGAATATTTCTTCTGTGCGGCTTCAGCACTGTCGACTTCACCATCGAGGAAGCGTATCGTTCCATCTGTATCAACGCCGAGGGCCGCCTTGGGTAGGATCTCGAGCTGGGATAACGACTTGGAGTGGACAATGCGACCATAGTATACCGTTGTCTTCGGTAATGAGTCGATTGCAGTCGAATACGATGGTGGTGGAACATCCTCCTCCGGGGAATGGTAGCGAGGAGACCTGCGCCTGAGGAAGGGTAAACAAAACATTGAAGATACCGATTATCTCAAGAGTCGTAGTTTGCAGATATAAGATCGGATGCTTGCTTCTACATTCCAGCAATGTGGGAACAGGGCAACATGAGGAGAACACAGAAGCAAGCACCTATCCATAGTATTCGCTGAAGGAGGTATAAATAGGGACGATGACGGCACTGCAGCTTATCGGTCCAAGACGCAAGGCGAATATATCTAACGGTCAAGTCAGATGATATGATCAAACGTAAGGCGGTCCACAGAACGTTGTATAAGAGAACAACATGGTGGAACTACTAGTGTGGTGGGAGATCTCGGATGCACGTCCGCGGGAGATTGGCCACCGAATTATATGAAACCGCCAGACTTCAGCCATTCGAGGCACTGCGACGCGACCAGTTCTCCGTGGTCTACGTGCAGCATATTAGAGTCGTTGACAAGTAAAACGGAGTAGGATGCCTACTTATGCAGAACGCATGGGGAATGTCACTAGGGCCGTGGAACACCCTCATGCTTCCGGGGTCAGGATTAAAGAGCCGCAGGATCGCGTCTTTCTGCTCTCCAACCCACATATCCTGATCTCCAAAGTAAAGACAGATACGGTGTCGGTTCTCGTCCATGAGAGCAATGTCGAGTTCACGGATCGTTTGCATTTCGTCGTGCGCCATAGTCAGCACCGCGAAGACAGAGGGAGGAGAACGAAGCCATCTAAGCAGCACCTGGAGTTGTGCCGGTGGCCAGTCCCTGAGGATTAGCGAGACCATTTTGGTCGGCCATATCCGGCTCGTCGTAGAAAGGGTTGATAGTATCCTGGGAAATGGTCCGCGGAACAGCCACTGGAAAGCGACTTGACAAAACTGCGACCAAGATGTAAAGGAGTCAGCGTACCGACCAACGACGCCCGTAAGGCGTTTGAAGGATGTGTTGAATAGTAGGAAAGAGGAGGAAGACTTCGGCGATATGATCATGTCTGGCTTTGAGAGCCTACACGAGCATCATGGATTGAACCTACAAAGACATGTCGCTAAATTTGCTCACTTGCAGGGTAATCCACGTTCCTACGCTGTGGCCGATCATGACTATTCTGGTGTTGTCGCCATATGCCGACTTCAGGGAATCGAGTACTTCGATGACTGCTTGCACTTGAGCGGTAAGGCAGACTCGCTCAGGGTGCGAGAACACATTATCGTCCGCAAGTCCCGGAGTCTGCCCAAGGTAAGAGTGCGCTAAAATGGCTAGCCGGGAAGAGCTAGAAGCAGCCGTCTTGTCGTATATAGTGGAAAGGAAAGGCGTGTAGAAAGCAAGGTGCCCTGGATTACCTAGCTAGTCACATCAGAGACAGTCTGGCTGCAGAACTCGGGATGATTGACCAGGTATGAACAAAATCAGTGTGGACTGCGCGCCCGGCTCAGGCCCCTTGGAGAAGGGCCACCAAAGGACATGAGAGGCTCCGAGCGGGTCTGCGTGCTTATATATAGCGTTCTGAGAGGGCTCGCTGGCATCTGCAGCCATGGTGATATCCGCTGGCCATGGTTGCAGGAAGGGGGGAAGTGACTCGGGCGCCATAGTCAAGACGGACGTCGAGGGGAAGGTCAAGCGTCAGCTCGAGTACGTTGAAGAGTGGCGGTCAAACGTCTTTCCGAGACCTGGTCACATTGGCATTCCTGCTTGCCATTCCTGTGCCCATTCCTTCCTAATACACTTTATAGATGCTTGATACGCCAGAGCCAACGATGATGGCAGCAATGCATCATAACAGAGATTAAACTGGAGGATTTCTACATACCGCCACCGTGACGGATGAGAAACAACGTTGCCCGATTAGGGGTCAACATCGAACACCCACGTGGAGTACCAAATATAGTAACGTGGAATGAAGCATGCACTGTGCGTACTGCTCAGGCTCTTGCGCACTGGCAACGACGATCTGATGTCTCGTAGCTCTCCGTTTCCTACAAACTCTGCCAGACGCGCCCGTTCCCCTCCTCTGCCAAACGGAAATGACGCTCAGTCGAGCTCGTACACGAATCCGACTCGCCCGCTGCAGATAAACCGGCCCCCTTCCCGTCCCACAACGCCGAGCAATGGCTCGATAGCTTCGCGCAACGGGCTCCCCAGCGGTCCCTCTCGTCCTCAACGATCTGAGCTTAGAAGCCGACAAGGTTCCGACTATTACTCTGCGTCTGAACAAGCATCCACGTCGTCTCTCCATAGTGGCTACGATGCACGAGACCGGCGGGACAGTGTCACAACCACCCGCTCGGACGCCTCGTACCCATCCCGATCGCGACGCCCTGAGCGCGCTATGACAGGAAGTAGTATGCAATCCGAGGATGCTGACGCGGCGAGCCCGTCTCTGGCCAAAGTCATGTCTGCCTTTCAGACTGCCGGTGCAAGAAAACGTGCTATGACGAACGGGAGTGCCGACACGGAATGGGAGAGGGAGCGAGAGAAAGCCATTGAGGCTGAGAAGATCAGACAGAAGAGGATAAGGGATAAGGGCATGAGGTTGAATGGCAAAGCCAAAGCAGGTGACATCGATGGTACGCTCTCATCTCACCCGAAGACTGCCTACCAAATTCCTTGGTATATGTGTACGGTATATTGGGTCTCTGACTTACACCCGTTGTTCTCTGTATATAGCTGTCTTAGATCAAATCAAAGACGACTGGGAGTTTGTTATCGACCCCGATGTTAGTCATTCAGTGAACTCGGCATTGCCGTTCCTTGAGCCGTCTTATTGATTTTGTTTGATACCCGAACAGTTCAATCCCGTGGATCTTGCGCTCCAGCTGTTGGATGAATCATCTACCGGGAAAGATATCGACTCCTTCCGCCGCACAAAGGATTTGCTCTCGAGAGCGCTGAAGGGATCAGTAGACAGTACGTTCATGGTCTCGTTATTGATAAGTTGATTGCTTGAATTTACAGCCACTGTTGCATCGCCCTGGATGTATATTACTTTCTTCAGAGCACTATGAAGCCTTTGCTGCATCTCTTCCGCATCACGCGTCCTTGTTAAGTCACCTAGGACTGGTCCAGACACAAATATCAGATGCACGAACAGCGTTACAAGAAGCGAAGGATTCCCTTGGGACGAAACGTAGCGACCTTGTTCAGCTATGGACCAGAGGCCAGACGGTGGACGAAATGTTACGGATATTGGATCAGATGTACGTGGCGTAATCACCCACCGCAAAGCCTGTTGACCTTCAAGGATAAGCAGTGAACATCTCAAATCAGTCCCTGACGTCCTGGAGACGCTAATGTCCGAGAAACGGCTGCTTCAAGCTTCTGTTCTCCTCATAAGAAGTTTGAAAATAATTAATAAGCCGGATATGCTCGAAATCGGTGCCCTGTCTGATCTGCGAAGCTACCTCGTGGGACAGGAAACAGTAAGTTGCTTCATCCTTATACAGGATTATCCCTTGGTTAATGACATGACTCCCCAGGCGATTCGAGATATTCTAATCGACGAGTTACACAGCCACCTGTATCTGAAGTCATTCTGGTGCGAGTCGCGCTGGACCTCCTACACACCTGGGCAGCAGACTTGTGCGTTTCTCGGCCAGCAGGTGATTGCTGTTGATCTAACTCTCGCCCGCAGTCCCGAAAATGGAGTTCGACAGCGATCCCTTGCTAGGGGAGTCCAAGGCAATAGGGCAACCGAGCTCTCAGGGATCTGCTCGCCCGGCTCGCCTAGCCCGATATCTCCAGGACCTTGCATTACGGCCGAATGACCCGCCTTACGACTTAAGTGAGCCGAACTTTCGGAACAGTGTCTCTGGACAGCGTCTTGCGGAGAGCGGCCTCGCGGCCTCGCCTTCTCTAACTGTGCTCTCGGGACTTGTGTCTTCGAATTCCATGGACGCGATCTTGCAGTCGAACCAGCAGAATCCCGAGTCTGACTCGTTCTCATATATCGAGACACTCCTGGAATCTCTGGCTGTTCTCGGGAAACTGGGGAATGCTCTCGATGTGGTTGCTCAGCGCTTGCCGGGCGAGATATACTCGCTGGTCGAGGCCACCCTTGACGAAGTAGCCGAGAGAGCAGAGTATGGCCGCAGGTCCTCGCTTGCCATTGGCGCGAATATGAGTCGACCGGATGGCGTATACGTATTTTCTGGCATGTCTAACCTCGGCGCGACTATTTCTATGACCACATTGTCCGTTACTGGACCTATGAAAGGCTCCTTCATCAGCCCTTCGTCCCTTAGACTGGCCGCGCTGGAGTCTTCGTCGAAGCAAGTAGACCATGAAATCCTGAGAGATCTATTTTGGACGTTGTATTCCAAGTTCGATGCAGTTAGCCAAGGACTGAGGGTCGTCTATGAAGTAGCAAACCGGATTGGATCTGTACGTCGCTTGTCTATATGTCTGCTGTGGCGCCTGCCACGACTTCGGTATAGACGCTGATGCCGGGGACATACTATCACAGCGAAGGGACTTCAAAGATTCATCTGAGACAAAGCCCGGTAATCTCTTTCCGATTGCTGAGGTCTGGGCACCTTTGCAAGCTGAGGTGAGCCAATTGCGTAGGCCATTTCCCCGCCACACTCTGAGACTCTTTACAGATGCGCACACTATTGAATGACTACCTCAATGATGAAGAGCACGGGTCCGTCTCCGGGCGAAATCCTATCTCCTCCATCAACGAGATACTACGTGAGAACAGGTTCTCGAGAGATAAAGGGAAGGTGAGGGAGCTGGCCTTTTGTCTATGGTATCGTGCCTCATGGTTTGTGGTCCGGATGGCAGCCTGTCTTCCGGTTCGCAGATACTGATATGAAAGCAGCTACCAAGACTTTAAGACACTACGAGGATGATTTGACTCGCGTCTTGCGTGACACGGTTCCTGGGCTCGTTCATGGGTCATCTGAGAATGCAACCCAATCAACATTGTCAAACGTTGGGGCGTCCGACGACCGTCTTTTAGGCTCGGGACAACACCACAGGCTCCTCATCAAGCCCGACGCTTTCCATGTCAGCGTGTTATTCCAGCCCACCCTTGCCTTCTTGGAGCGGTTGGCTGAAGTGCTGCCATCTGGCTTGGAGAGTGCCAGAGCGTCGAGCGCGGTCCTTGAGGAATTCGTGCTGAAGGTCTATCTACCCCAGCTGGAAGAGAAGGTCTCTGAGCTCTTCCACCAATCAGTGACAGGCATGTCCTTACCTCGATTTCACATGAAACTGAATCCTTATGGTGTACTGTAAAGGACCTGACGCCTTCCGGCCTGACCCTACATCTCTGAAGTTATCACCGCAGCCGCTTGTCAAGGTAGGTCCTCCTGAATGTCGTGGATTCATTGATGTCTCATAAAAGCTCGCAGGCGAGCACCGAACTGATGGCTCTCATCAACTCACTATGCAACATGCTCCGTACAACTCCTTTCCATCGGGAGAATTATGCCCGTTTGATACTTACGGTCATCATCCAGTTCTATCAGCGGTGTAGCGATCGATTCCAGGATTTAATATCCTTGCGAGCCTCATCTTATGACGGGGAACCTCGTATCGCTCTGGCTGCTCAGTGGGCTCAGAGGAGTGAATTAGCGCCTTGCCTGTCTGAACTCATGGGTGTAGCAGTACGTCGTTGTTACTCCAACTTCAGTGGTTACCGTTCTCACTTGTCTGCAGAGTACCGACGTGGCTAAGAAGCTGCAGCTATGCAGACAGGAGACGCACCTTGAAATCTGGCAGATCCTAAACGACCAGACTGTTAGCAAGGATGACCTAATATCTCCTCTGCGGAATCTATCTTCCCTTGGAACATTGTACCACAGTATAGTGCGCGGATTTGTCTCATCCTACGACTGATCTAACAAGATCTCTCTTTCTAGACGTGGCTAGCGAGTGAACTGACCAAGCTGAAGTCTGCCCCGGAGGACACATATTCACCAACAACACCTTTGAAGCTCGAACCTGTTTCCGCAGCCACCCCTTACACGCCGTACCTCCCGATACTCCCGTCCCTGCAGCAGACGGATGAGCTGACACTCCCCCTTTCTCGAGAAATGGCACTGTACGAAGTCCACTTGATTTGGCACTGTTGGTCGATCTGACGTTCTTTTAATATAAGTCGCTTCCAAGCGCTGTTGAAGACGTACGATCAACTGAGCGAACTGATGCTGTACTCTATGCGCATAGACGTCAGGTGTCGGACTATCCACTATCTTGATATGTCAATGCGAGAGGTGAGAATTCTCTCTCAGATCCCTACTGGGCCATACTGACAGAATTAGCAGGGTAACTACGTCCTGGATGAAGAGCCCAGGGAACCTGATGCCTATGTTGTCGACCTCAATAAGGAACTGGTTGAATGCGAGGAATTTATCACCAGCTCCCTACCACCAGCCCAGCAATTGTAAGGAATCTGCATTTACCTTTGGGTGCTTTGACTAAATCATCAAGCCAGCTTCGTTTTCGAGGGCCTTGGACAGCTAATGGAGCACCTCCTCATTTCCAATGCTCGGCATATACATCGTGCAAACGCTTTCGGTATCCGCAAAGTTCTTCGTAATATGATCGCTCTGCAGCAGAATCTTCGGTCGCTCACCGGTGCTTCACCTGACATCGAATTCACTCGTGCGAAGCGATACTACTCGTTGTTCTTCATATCGCCATCCGTCCGTACTTCCCCTAGTTGAACTGAAAATTTACTGACCAAGGACATTGCAGGATATGCTGGATAGCATTCGTCAAAAGCAATCATATAACTTCGACGAATATAAGACCATGCTGGGTTTGCAATGTGGCGTTGATCCTACTTTGGGTGAAGCTGGGATCGCCAAAGCAACAGATCGCAATTACAATATGTACGTTATCGATTTACATGGACTGGAGCTGGAGAATTCAAGCGAAGACGGTTGATGATGACCATGCTTATGGACCGCTTTCACGTTATATTTATTCCATTACGATTTCGCTACATACCCCTGCTTTTTGTTTTGCTGTCCGCTGTTCTGAATCTCGATCTGCTGCGTCCTTTCGAACCTCTTTATTCGAGAGTTCGGTCCATGCCAACTCGTGAGAGTCCATTGAAGGAGCAGGTTTGTGAACCCGCGGGACAGCCGGCCCAGAAGCCCTCGCGGACAGCGAGATCTCATATCTCGGGCGAGGTACCCCGCGAAATTTCTTGCTGTCCACGACATTCCCTGGAGTTCCGGGTTTAATATACATCAAAATGGGAAGCCGGCCTAAGAGTTCCTGGTATCGCCTCCTCAGAAACCTCCGGGGCAATGGGGAGTGAAAGACACAGGCGGGGGACCGCGAAAACTTGTCAGCTTCCCCCTGCGGTTTTGGTGTAGGAGGGTGTCTACGTGGGATTGGAGACGACTGGGTAGGCGGGAGAGCCAGCTTCTGTACTTCCTCAAAGACGCCAGAATCTTGCAACCCTATGGCACGGATACCAGCCTGGGCGACTGCATCCTTGTCACTCCTCGGAATAGGGTCGGTGAGCACTGGCTCTTGCACCAGTATCTGCAGTGGGGGATATACTTTCTTCGATTGGTCGGTGAAGAAACGCCAGCGCAGATTGGCTTCACGACGTTTACTTAATGGTCCCAGGAGACGAGCCTCTTCAGAGGCAGGATCCGATCGCGCGGGCAGAGTTGGCGGGATAATGAGGTCTTTGGGACTCAGAGGTTTGTGCGAACGAGAAAACGGAGAGGTAAGCAGTGCTGCTAGCTCCGGAGAATAGTGCGGCGGCCTGGAGCGCTCGACTCCTGGTATGATGCGGTGGGTGGCAGACGAGCGGGCATCTTGTAACAAAGGCTTCACAGAGGTGATTCAGTAGTATTTAACACTGAATATAGGACCTACCTCCAGAAGTTCCCATCTCAGTCTCCCTTTCCTGCCGTAGGCAAGGTCCAGGACGTATTGAAAGGCTCTCCATTTACCAGTGTTCGCGTCTTTCAGTTTCCGGATGTCCTGAACCGAGCAGTATCATGGGCACTCCGCACAAAGCAGAAGGAATCGTGGTAAAAACCTTCGAGACTCTCTTCTGCTTATTCTCCATGGATTTTCTGCCATCTTTCGTGCTGCAGAGAACCGTTACGTCGTCACGAGCCTTGATACGGAAGAACGTCCTTTGTGAGACGGCTTGAGCCAACCAAAGGCTGAGAGGTCCGACTGGACACGTACCGTAGATATTCGTGTGGCAGAAGTCTTACTTGGCGAAGGTAGTCCCTGTACAGATGGGCTATAGGCTTGAAGGGGATCATCCGAAGATCACTTCAGGGAGGGCCATTTGAGACAAAGGCACCGAGCCATGCGATGCGATAAGTGATCGAGATGTGTCATCAGCCACAATTTGTGGGCTCGGGACGTCCATCCAGCTTGTTGACTGTGAACTCTACCATCGCATTCCGCAACTTGTCAGATTTTTGAGATGGTAGGAACATCTGAAGCTGGCCGATTCGCATCCTGACATATTAGATTTACAGGCCCCCACCAAAGGCCGGAATCAGAACCCTAGTGGGCTGGGCAGGGCTATCATTAACAGGAAAACACAAGATGCACGCCGCGCACAAGAATCAGGTCTTGTGAGTACCTTGGTACTTCACGACAAGGAGCTACTGTGGAATAATATTCATCGAGTCCTCTTGTGTCACTCAAAGTACACAACAGATATCGACAGCACCGCCCGTTTACGGTCCGTAACGCAAGAGAACGATCTAGACGAGTTCTTGAATACCGCGCAGCTGGCGGCGACCGACTTCACTGCTGGTACCTGTTCACTCCCAGTCTGACGATAACGCTGCTCATGGTCTCGATAGAACGTCGAAATGTCAAAATCATCAGCGTTCCTGCAGCGACAAGCCACAATCCGTTCTTATTGACGGAGGAAGAGGAGAGAAGGACGCTGGAGAGGTTCCGGGAGAATAAACAACGTCTGCGTGTACCTCGAAGACCGCCGTGGACAAGGGATATGTCCCCCCAGCAGCTCGACAGACAGGAGAAGGACGCCTTCCTGGAATGGCGAAGAGGACTAGCCGAGTGTGTCCATCAGTCTCTGTCCCATAAAATGCCCTGTCTCACCATGCGATACCCTATCATAGCCTACAGGATCGCGATAGCTTCCTTCTGACGCCCTTCGAGCGGAATATCGAAGTCTGGCGTCAATTATGGCGTGTTATAGAACGTTCACACCTGGTTGTACAAATCGTAGACGGTCGAAACCCTCTACGATTCCGCTGTGAGGACCTGGAGTCATACGTCCGGGACGTCGAAGGAACTGAAGGAGAAAAGGGAACTGGGAAAGGAAAGCGGCGGAACTTGCTGCTCATAAATAAAGCTGATCTGCTTACTGCCAAGCAAAGGTTAGTAACCTTCACTCAGCCATATGTACCCGCTCAATTTCCTGCAAAGACGGCTTTGGGCAGACTATTTTGATGAGCAAGGAGTGCAGTACGCTTTCTTCTCGGCAGCGAACGCTACTGCGTTGCAGGAGGCCAGGAAAGAAGCTTGGGCTCGTGCCGAGGCTGAGGCTGAGGCCGAGGATGGGGGGGACGACGATAGCACCTCAGGCTCCGATGATAATCATTCCGAATCAACTCCTCCACACTCAGAAAGTGAAGAATCTGATGAGGAGCAGGAGGGTGCTCTTGGCCATGCTGCACTTTTATCCGAGGAGGAGTCATCCGACGACGAATTATATTTCTCTTCCGAGGAAGACACAGCAGACGGGCAGGATCCAAGGGCCAAAGTACTCAGTGTTCTGGAACTTGAAGCATTATTCGTTCGAGCCGCTCCTGACCTGAGCAGTAAGTAATGCATATTGACGCTCGGCGTACCTTATGTTGAACCTTACCTAGCCTTCGCGGATTCTTCCGGCAACCATCCAACCAAGTTGGTCGTCGGGTTAGTTGGATACCCGAACGTCGGGAAGTCGAGTACTATTAACTCCCTGTTGGGCGAAAAGAAGGTCAGCGTCTCGTCTACGCCTGGCAAGACGAAGCATTTCCAGACCATCAATCTATCACCGACCATGACCCTCTGCGACTGTCCTGGTCTTGTCTTTCCTCAGTTTGCTACGACCAAGGCGGACTTGACATGCGATGGAGTTTTACCTATCGACCAGATGAGGGAATATACGGGCCCTGTTACTTTGGTAGTCAAGCGGATACCGAAGGAGGTGCTGGAAGCCACGTACGGTTTGAGTATGAGGACAAGTGGTTACGGACAGGAAGTAACCGCGTCGGACCTCCTGATCCCCTACGCAAGTAAGTTTATTACCAGGCCTCCGTAGTTGAACCCCTTGCTTACGACCTCATCTAGTTTCTCGAGGCTTCATGCGGTCCGGCCAAGGAAATCCTGACGAAGCTCGCGCCGCCAGGTACATCCTTAAAGACTACGTAAACGCGAAGCTTCTGTACTGCCACCCTCCGCCAGGAGTGCCAGAAGATGATTTCAACCAGCAAACACGTGAGCTTGCGCTCAAACGAATGGCAGGGAAAAAGAAAGCACCCGTGACTCGAGTCGTCAAGAAGGCCGATACATTCGTTCCCACCGCGTCCCCATCCAATGGCCAGGCTGCGTCTACCGCCGATGGTTTCAAATCGGATAACTTGGACCGGGAATTCTTTCAAGCAAACTCAGGTCTTTCTTCTCGAGCGTTCATTAAAGGAGCGAGGAAGAATGGAAAAGAATTCTCTAGGCCCAATACACTCCCTCATCAGAACTCCGTGGCGGATGACGGAACACCTGTCAGCGGACGAAGGGCGAGGATTGCGGCAGTCCTCGCAAATGCAGGAGGTGACATAGGTCACGGTAAAAAGCATCACAAGAAGAACAAACGGGTCAAACAGAGAAGTGGAAGAGGATATGATTAATCCAGTCTTAGTTGACCATAACACGGGTACAGAATTGTATATATGTTTTCAGGAATGTAACAGAGTTTATCACTGGTTCACTGTATGCGGATCCCCTCACGTGACTGAGTCGCGTCTAGCTGCTGCTGCACCATAAATTGTGTCTGCATGCGCGTTTTCCCTGGCTTCGTCCTCTTCTCTGGCTCGTCTCCCGTTGCAGTCCACGCAGTCTGCGAATAATGCCTGTTCCGACTCACGATAGAGCCCCTCCTCCGACTTGGGCATCGTCGGGACATCGGTCAATTGATTGTGACGGGCTCTCCGGTGATATATGCGCCAAACTCGTAACGACGAACAAACAGGGTCGCAGAGAAGGTGGCACAGCTGCTGAATCTTTACGTTTCTCTGCTCTAAGCCCTTGGTTTTGCGCGTAGTTGTTGCACTGAGCGTCAATAAACCTGTTACAATCGGTCGGAACCCTGCCATCTGGTGAGCTGGGCTTCTCCTGGATGGGGGCGGATGAAGTCGTGACCGCCGATCCGCCAGCTCCTATTTACTCTCCGACATTGTTGTCTCTAGCGTGCACTGCAAGGTGTATGCGTGAGTCTGTCCTCTGTCTCCATATCCCGTGATAACGGAATTGCTATGGTCTCTCAGTGTCCCTTCGGGAGATGGGGGCGTGATTGTTTCATGTCAGGTACGGCTGCATCCCCTGGATCTAGCATGACATGGACGAGGCACCGTAGGATCATTCGACCAACGGGGTTATTCTGAACGGGCAAAAGGTCCGACGAACATCCGTTATTCTCATGGATAACGACGTCCTCGAGATACCTTCATCACAAAGTGAGCAGAGGGAGACTAATGTAGTGTATGACGTGCTGATGTCGCTGTTTTGAACAGAGTTCACTTGCATTCACTTACTGAAGCAACAACCGGAAAAGGCGAATCTGTTCGACCCCACCCCGCCACAACAACCTTCGTACAAGGTAGATTTCCGTCAGAGTATCACGGATGGGTCCGGTTTACATGTTGCGGCAGCAAATTGGCGCATACACAGTGACCTCTCATCGCTTAGGCCAGGGAAGCTTTGCTAGCGTCCATCTTGCACTGGATCCAGCGAATCATAGGCAGGTCGCATGCAAAATCATCAAGACCAAAAAGGAACACGAGCTGCGTGGTGTCATGAAAGAAGTCAGAATACTACTGGCCCTCAACCATGTCTGTCGTCTGGAGGGTCTCCCAACAAATCAATATGGCTGACTGGAACTATAGCCAAACATCAACAGGGCTTATAATGTCGAAGTGAATGGTAAATTCCTGTACGGCCCGTATTCATTACACTATCTTAGTCATCCCTACTCATTTGCCATGTTTATAGGCATATATTCCTTCAGTTATGCACAGGCGGCGACTTGTTCGCATACATCGTGAGTCGTAAAGAAACAGAACATCGTTTGTGTGAAGGCGAAGCGAAGTATATCATGTACCAATTACTCCGTGGTCTCACCTACCTCCACAACAAGATGATCTGTCACCGTGGTATGTGATTTGTCCACTACACGTTTCTGACCACATTTTGATCATCGACGCTATCTTCCGTCTTAACTTACGTTCAGATCTCAAGGTAAACAGCTGGACTTCTCTTGATTTGTATGATGACGTTGGTCTTGGCTATCTGACAGCCGGAGAATATTCTCCTTCACGCCCCTGGCTCCTATCCTCGAATCCTGATCGCGGATTTCGGCCTTGCAAGACCGAAAGCATACCAAGAGACCCTCAATGCTTGCGGGACTGTCTGCTACTTGCCTCCTGAGGCCATTCTAGCGCTGGACCACAAAGACAGAGGTTACGTCGGCATGCCTTCGGATTGCTGGAGCGCTGGCGTTATCTTGTACATTATGCTTACGTGGGTGTCCAACGCTTGTCTGCTCCGCAGTGGTAGTCCTAACGCGCGCTATGGCTTGCTATAGTGGCAGCCATCCCTTCGACTACGGGCCGTATGACTACGAATCTTCTCGTCAGCATGGCGGCACCGAGCAGAGCTATTCTCAGTTTTCTCAGGCCTCTGTCGATCGCAACAGAATTGTCAAGGAGCGTATAATTAACTACGAATTAGAGTTTGACCAGTCAATCTGGAAGACGGTCCCTGACGGTATGAACTCTCGGACATCATTTCTATCTAGATGACACCTCTCTAAATGTCGGGATCCTCGCCCACAACTTGCTTTTTCATAGCCCAGGCTCTGGTATCCCGTTTACTCATATACGACTACCAGCAACGAGCGACTGTCTATGGGGCAATGCGAAGCTCCTGGATCCGTTCAGATCTGCAGGACTTGGAGAATGCATACCGCACGCGAATATCGTCTTCCTGAGGCTTGCCTCCTGGCGCCGAGGACCATGACCACTTATGGCTACGTCTGTGCTCGTGCTCGGCATCTGTAGGCTCCACGGTATTCCGTTCCTTCCCCTTTCAAGCGCTGGTATTCAGACTCTGGGTTGATCGACGTGTACTTCAAACCTTCTATGTATCATTATTATCTCGCGGAATACACTTGCGTGCATGTATGCGTCGAGTTACGACAGTTGAATCAAGCAAAATGCACTTTGATTCGTAACTTGTATCGTTTACAATGCTCCTTCTACCTGCATTTGACTTACATCCCTGCGAACTTCTTTCATATTCTTGCCGCGCCTCAATCATGCCTTCAGGAAATTTGCGTGGACTAAAAACTTTTTCAATGCTGCCGCGAGCCAGGGACAGAATCTGAGTACTCACAATGGACATGATCAGGCCCAAAAGTGGAAATCTCAAGACACATGAAGGTGAGAATAGGGATGTAGAAGGATCAGACACCGCATGCTACTTACGAAGTAGTAACTGTGGTCGTATCCGTCTTGCGGCCTCACGCGGACTTGCACCTCGTCATGGCCAGCATCTCTAGCCGCCTTGAGGAAATTCTCGGGTAAGAGCTGGCCCTGTTTATAGAAGTTGTCACCAGTTCCCTAAAAACAGAGGTAATACGTCAGCTCGTCTAGCGACTGAACAATCGGAAGACGCACATAATCGATCAATATGTGGACGTTGTCCTTGATCTTGGTAATCATCTCGGTGGCATCATATAGCGGCGCAGCTTCATCGACGCCACCCTGCAGATAGCCATTGAACGCCTTTTGGCCCCACGGGCATTTGGTGGGATTTGCAATAGGGGAGAAGGCGGACGCGGAACGGAATGGCCTACTCTTGGATCCCTTCGATAGAGCGGCTAGGTACAAGGTTAGGGCGCCATGACCACCCATCGAGTGGCCAAAGATAGACTGCCGTGAGAAGTCCTGCATGTGTCGGGACGATAAGCCCCCGTGTAGATCCAGAACATTGGACCGTACTCACGATGGGAATGCCGGCAGCTTCAATAACTTCCGGCAATTCCAAGGTGATGTGCGTAGCCATGTTATAGTGTTTCGCGAATTTGGGATTGGTGGCATTCAAGTAAAATCCAGCCCCTAACTAGATTGTCAGACCGTTCGAAGAAGCTCACAGAGACCAGATCGATATGAACCGACTCCGAAGTCCCAATCTTTGTCCTCCCCCTCGATCCCTGCGCCGCGGGGAGATGTATCAGGAAAGATAATGGCGATACCCTCGTCGGCGGCATCTCTAAGGAAACCACCTTTCTGGGCCCTGTGATGATTTGCACTGTCAATCCAGAACCCTAACATTACTTGAGAAGCAACATACCCGTTATCTTCGGTGCATGTCAGACCAGCCAGGTAGAACAGAACAGGGACCTTTCCCTGGGAAGCATTGGCCGGAAGGAATAGGTTGAACTGCGTGTCAAGTCCCCCTAGAGCCGCGGACTAATGCGATTGTTAGTCGGCGCATGAGCGGGGCAAACCGATACCGAAACATGACAATCAGCGTACTTTGAACTTATATTTGGTCAAGACGCCGCCGAAGGACTTGTTGGCGGACAGTGTTTCGAGGGCCATCCTGAGCAAGCGGTAGAAGGTCGTGGTCGACAGCAAAGAGCGCGAGGGAAAGAGTTCGTCATTTGGCAGTCACTTGAGCCCAGGATTATCATTAGCCTCCCGCATATTCCGTCGATTGAACTCATGAAGTCATTATCGCGATTAGCTCATGGCTGTGCGGCCCTTCCACCTGCTTACGTACACAGTCAATCTTCCACCAATCAGAGCGTATCCCGAGCCTCTGATGTTGGCAACGCCTCATTCCGACATTACATGCCAGCGGCAGCGAGGGAACCCTACCCAAAGGCACAGAACTTCATTCAGTGTACCACTGTAAGGGATTGTGCCCTGGACCGTGGCAACCCGAGGGTTTGATAGTGAAATGAAGGCCCTCGGTTCCGACAGCCTGAGGGAGATTCACGCATTTTGACCTCATACGGTGAGCTGGACATCGATCTGGTGAATACAAGATTTATAGTATTGCACTGCAGTTTCTGTCCTGCGCTTTGATCACCGAACTCGGCCCTGGAGACGGCTTCCTCCCAGGCTCTTCGTATCTCACTTGGCCGCCTAGCTAAGTATGAACTATGCATTGTCGTACCGTCATATGGGATGATCCGACGCGTCTAACATACTCCGGGAAACATTTGGTAGGAGCAAACAATCGATTGCGAAACGTGCATTCCACTCTGCTATGCAAAACCTGGAAAACCCTGGAAGACATGTAGACCTAACGCTGCATCACTAGGTCGCACTTCGATTCGGCTTCACCTGCGAGTCCACCGAAGGATAAGCTAAGTATCAATCCCATTAAAGTCCACCCCGAGCACATCTGTGTCTCCTCACCTATGGAGACGAGACGGACAAGGCTCTCAGTCCCGAGTAACTGCACAGCCACAATTAGCCAGAACTGCGTGTGGGTATCTCAACATTCAGCATTCCCTACAGATCCGATATTACGATACTCGGTGATACGTAGCTCGTGCACGATCCCGGCGGTACCGCTCTGGTACCTGAGAGACTCTCCTTATAACACCTGGTAGTCTTCAGACATACCCTCCTTGTGATCCCAGTAGTCGTGTTATACCGACCATGACGCTCTCCTTTGACACCATAGGAACATCCTCTTTCTCTACATATGGGATTTTCCTACTCATCGCTATTCTTTTATACGTCCTCAAGGCCTTCAGCTTTAACCAGCGATGTGTAAGTGATTTTTACTCAATGTAATGCAGCCTTACCAACTTGAACGTGTGACTAGTTAGATAGGATACCCACAGTGGGCGGTCCTTCGGACCCGATTCTTTCTTACATTGGTGCATTTCGCTTTTTCACTGGTGCACGGGACTTGGTGCAGCAAGGTTATTCCCAGGTATGTTGGGTTCGATCAGGAGAAGGTATCTCTACTTACCCGTTGCCTGAAGTTCAAGGGTGGCGTATTCAAGATCGCCCGGATAGACCGATGGCTAGTCGTCGTGACCGGCACAAAGTTCATGGAAGAGTTCAGAACAGCCCCAGATGACGTGTTGTCCTTCACAGCAGCTACTACTGATGTGGGTCCAACGAAGTCGCCAAGAGCACTGACACTGATGCTCTGGATAGACTCTTGCCATTCCATGGACGCTGGGACCGAACATACGCGAGAACGAATATCACGTCCAGATTATCCGCTCTCAGCTGACGCGAAACCTGGGGAATGTTGCCGTCGAGATGCACGATGAGGTGGTTGCTGCGTTCAGTGACGAAGTTAAGCTCCAGGAGAACGGCAAGCACCCTTCACCCTTTCCCTTGTTTGCTTCGTCTTCACTGCTGGCCGTTTAGAATGGGTTCCTGTGCCAGCTGTGCAGGCCATATCACGGATTGTTTGCCGTACAAGTAATCGGGCGTTTGTCGGGTTGCCCCTATGTAGGTCTCGATCTCTCGGCCTGATAGTTGCTTGTACTAACGGTTGTCCATGCAACAGGTCGAGATCCCGATTATGTCAACTTATGTGTCAGGTTCACGATGGATGTCGCATTGAGTGCATTCGTTATCAATCTGTTCCCAACATTCATGAGGCCGTGAGTCTGCGTTTGCTGTAAATAGCGCTATTTAGATGATGCAGTGACTATGTCTCAGGTTCGTCGGTCGTCTACTCTCAAGAGTCCCAGGAAGTATCAACCGAGGAGTCAAGCACCTTGGCCCTATCATCGAGGACAGGATACAGAAGATGCGCCAGTACGGCAAGGACTGGGCGGAGAAACCCGTGAGTGGACGACGACGTTACGTTCAAAACGTTCGTCTGGAGGCTGAGCACGTACTGCTGAATAGAAAGATATGATCACTTGGTTAATAGAAGATGCCCAGGGGGAAGAGCGGACAGTACGCAATTGGGCGCTCCGGGTGTTAACCGTCAACTTTGCCGCGATTCATACGAGCTCTACGGTATGAAATGTGTTTCCATTCAAAGGTCTGAATTTTTTACCGAATACATCAAACTTGTAGTCCTTCACGCACGCGTTATTGCACCTGGCTGCAAACCCGCACTATATAGCACCTCTGCGCGAAGAAGTAGAGGAGATTATTTTGAAGGAGGGATGGTCCAGAGCTTCTTTGCAAAAGATGCGGAAGATCGATAGCTTTCTGAAAGAGTCTATGAGGTACAACGGGCTTGGGTGCCGTGAGTATATCATGCAAATAAGCTTTCATTAGTCCGATATTAACCTTCGATTAGTGTCCATGAGCAGAAAGGCTCTGAAGCCGTTCACCTTCTCCGATGGGACCGTCATCCCTACTGGTACCTACGTTTTTGCTCCCCAGACAGCAACCCATCACGATGGCGAGTATTATCCTGATCCTGAAGTCTTTGACGCCTTCAGATTCCTCAAGGGAGGCGAGGCCAATGGTCCTAAACAATACCTCGTGAATACGGCGGACGACTTCGTGCCCTTCGGGAATGGCAAGCATGCATGGTAAGTTTCATTAATCGCTATACTTCAAGAGATCAAAGATAACCTTGGCATGAATAGCCCAGGCCGGTTTTTTGCCGTCAACATCATGAAGACAATGTTGGCACATGTTGTGACGACATACGACGTGAAGCTGGAGAAGGAGGGCGAGCGACCTCCTGACAGGTGGATTGGGCCGGCGTCTGCGCCGAACGGCTCAGCAAAGGTCTTGTTCAGGAAGCGTCAAGTGTAGTTCGCTCACGTTGTTCCGTATTGTTATTGCATCGTGAAGGCATATCCATAGGCTAATAACTGTTGTTGTACTGTAGTATAGAATCTGAGGATCATGTTTCCCTCCGAGTGTAGTGTATGAATATTGCATATCAATTAGAGGAGACACGCAGACACTGGAGCCTCATTTGGTAAAAGAATTACCATATCCAGAGCCTGTCACAGTAACGTCCCGGAGCTCTGTCGGTGCTGACTCAATTTGAATTAGGCTGCTCATTCACCTTTACCACACCCACAGGGAGAAGTCGCGGCGCTAGAGGACGAGTCTTCATATTCCGTTGTCCCTGCGACCATGCCATAGAGAAAAAGTTTTTGATATACGCAGAGAATACCCATGAAATCAAGCACAAAATACGAAGGGGATGCTCGTACTTGGCTCGTACCAGCAGTAATCACGGTGCTGGTACGAATCGTACGACGAGATCGGTGAGCATGAGAAGTAGGTTAGAGCCAATCACATTTCCGCGTCAACCTTGTAAGGGTCGCAAGTTTGGTAAGCTATGTACTGCAGTAAGTATCAGCAGCCGCCGGATCGCGAACAATGATATGTAGACGTCGACGGCTGTCGTACGGCACGATGGTCGAGCAGGGAGACATCTATAGGGAGACATGCCAGAAACTTACGATTTAGGAAAGGACCCAGTATAGCCCGATTCTATTTTCTACTGCTTCCGTCGGGCGTCGGCAGACCCGGGCTTCTTCATGGGACGAGAGCTGGGATCCTGTTCGCTCCTTCGCGTGAGTGACTGCAGATTGTTCTTTTTTCTTCACCGTCATGTTGGACTATTCCCTCGTGTATGCCGTCGTGGGCATCGCGCTGACATGCGCTCTCTTGAGTGTCCTCAGTCCAGACAGGCGAGCTGTAAGTCTATACAGCCAGATTGCTGTAGCGTTGGGCGCGCTGATGAGTCTCGTAGCTCGATGGCATACCCACCGTCGGACCTTCCGCACCTTTGGCCTCATACATAGGAGCGATTCGATGGTTATACGACGCACCACGTATGGTCCAGGAAGGTTACGACAAGGTTAGTCTATTCTCACCCAGAAAACATACTCGGAGATTAACTCGGATTATCCAGTACAAGGGGAGAGCATTCAAGGTCGCCAATATAGACAGATGGATGGTTATCGTCAGTGGTCCGAAACTGATCGACGAAGTCCGACGCGCCCCGGACGACGTCCTGTCCTTCACTGAAGCCACAAATGATGTATGTCTTCCGGCTAAATTCTGAATACATCCTGATTTGGTGTGGTAGATGCTGTCTATCGATTATACCCTGAGCCCAAACGTCCACCATAACGAATACCATATCCCAATTGTGCGGTCGCAATTAACACGGAGTCTGACTTCAATATTCCCAGAAGTTCGGGACGAGGTCATCACTACCTTCGATGAAATCATTGCTCCGAAAGGTGACGGTAAGTGTGAATGTATGGATGCCGTTACGGGTCTACGTTGATTCCATGCGTCAACGACAGAATGGATCGCCTTGCCAGCGTTGGAGACTATAATGCAGGTTGTGTGCCGAGCATCTAATCGCGTCTTTGTTGGTTTACCTGTCTGTGAGTGCTCCTACAAGCCAGTCATTATTCATGCATTATACGATATGGCTGTACGTAGGTCGCAATAAGGACTACTGCGAGGCAAATGTCAGGTTTGCTGTCGATGTGATGGCCAGTGCAATATTGCTGAACATGTTCCCGAAGTTCCTGAGACCGTGGGGTTATTCCTCTTTGCGTTCGCTTCTGTAACTTGACGAACGGCTTTCGAAATACTCGTTAGGGTCGTCGGGAACATGCTTACGCTCGTCCCACGAACTGTCCGACGCGTTCGAAAGCACCTTGAACCCCTCATCGAGGAGCGTCTGGCCAAGATGGAAGAATACGGTGATGAATGGACAGATAGGCCGGTCTGTCTTCCACTTGCGGTTTTTCGATTTGCGCTCACTCTTGAATGATCTTGGTTCGGTGTCCATATACATAGAATGATATGCTACAGTGGCTACTCAAGGGGGCAGAAGGTAATGAGAGGACTGTCGACGGCTGGACGAGGCGTATGATGGTCATCAATTTTGCTGCTATACACACTTCCTCCATGGTGAATCAAATATGCGCTGTCGCATTAGACAGACCAGCTGATCTACGATGTCGTAGAGTTTCACGATCGCCCTGTTCCATCTAGCAGCAAACCCGGAGGCGTATCTGCAACCGATGCGTGAGGAAGTCGAGACGGTTACAAAAGAAGAAGGATGGAGCAAGGCGTCCATGCAGAAAATGCGCAAGCTCGACAGTTTTCTGCGCGAATCCCAGCGGTTGACGGGTCTCGACGCGCGTATGTTCATTATCTACGCGCTCGTGTTAATCATTCATTCCTCCTTGTGCAGTGGCACTGAACCGGAAGGTCATGAAACCCTTCATGCTCTCTGATGGGACCCGGCTTCCTATCGGGACACACATTGCTTGTGCTGCCATGTGCACGCACAGCGATAACGAGAACTACGTGAGCGCGGATGTCTTTGACGGCTTCCGCTTCGCCAACATGCGCGAGGAGGACGGGGAGAGCATCAAGTACCAGTTCGTCAGTACGTCGACGGACTACGTGCCGTTCGGCCACGGCCGCCACGCATGGTGTGTACCCGCAAAACAAATCTTTCTTCATTACTCGTACTCAACATAATTCCTTATGTTTTCGTAGCCCTGGGAGGTTCTTTGCAGCCGCGGAATTAAAGGCCATGCTCGCGCACCTGGTTATCAACTACGATGTCAAGCTAGAAGACGAGGGCGTGCGGCCGAAGGACACATGGTTCAGCACGTCGCGCTCGCCAAATCGCACGGCCAAAGTTATGTTCAGGAAGAGGCACAGTAGACACGCTACGTGACCTTGTCTTGTCTTCGTGTTGGGTGTGATGATATCATTGTACTTCAATTTTGAGCGACTTCTTTGAATGAAGGGAATATGGACTGGTTTCCCGCTCGGGCATAGGGCCGGATGACAACTCTGTATTACGCCTGGACGATCTCTTTAATGCCGAGGCCAGAACCCGGGACAGATTGCCGGCTTGGAAGAGGCGCAGAAGACTTTCCCGGTATCAAGGCGGTCCATACGCAAGGCGAGTCGATATCGGATGCGCAAAGAGGAGTCCTTCTCTAGCCGCACACGTATTTCATGACCGCTCAGCCTCCATCCGCAACAGCTGGTGTTGTAGTGGCGCTGTGACAATTCCCACCAAGATGCCAAATACAGGACGGGGCAACGTGAGAAGGCATGACAGTCGGACATTAGACCAAGATTAGCACTTCTGCAAGCATATATCATGTCTTCGACGATGCACAGTAGACACAACATCACTAAGCTCTTCCTTGATAGCCATGTCTACCACCTTGGTCTATGCTACCATAGTAGCTGTGCTGGTGTCTTGGCTGCTTAAAGTGTACAGTCCCAGACAGCGCGCGGTGAGTCTAATTAGCTTTGTCTTCTGATGCCACCTTAATCTGGTTACTTCTAGCTTGATGCTATACCTACTATTGGTCCTTCAGGTTACCTGACCTCTTGGCTGGGGGTTATAAACTTGTACAGGAGTGGTCCCAAGATGATCCAGGAAGGATATACCAAGGTAAGTATGTGTGTGGTAGCGTCAGCAATATGACAATACTTACTACGCCTGCAGTACAAAGGAAAGCTTTTCAAGGTTCCGGATATCAACCGATGGATAGTCATCGTCAGTCGGCCGAACATGATTGACGAACTCCGGAACGCACCCGACGATGTGCTCTCATTCACGGCGGCGACGAACGATGTATGTCTGTCTTTCATCTTGGTCTGCAGATCATACGCTCGACGCGACATGTACAGGTAGTCTCGGTCGATTATACCCTCCGACTGAATAATGCTTCAGCTCGTCACAATGACTACCACATGCCGATCATTCGCACTCGACTTACCCGGAATTTGGGCAATCTGTTTCCAGTGATTCACGATGAGATCGTTGCCGCTTTCGATGATCTGGTAACACCCAAGGGAGACGGTGCGTCTGAAATTATAGGTCCAGGTATTTGCGGAAGCCTGATATACATATCAGAGTGGGTGAAGCTGCCCGCGCTTCATACCACCATGCAGATTGTCTGCAGAGCTACCAATCGTATTTTTGTGGGATTACCTGTTTGTAAGCAGAGGTAACACTCACGCACTTTGATGACGCTAAACCCCTGGCAGGCCGCAATGCTGATTACTTACGGATTGGCGTTGGGTTCACACTCGACGTCGTGCAAAGTGCATTGTTCCTCAATCTATTCCCGCGGTTTATGAAACCGTAAGACTGCCCTTAAGACCCTTACCGAGTACATATGATTACCAGCTTGTGCTAGGTTCATTGGGGCAAGACTCCCCTTGGTGCCTCAAGCGGTCGAGGCAGCAGAGAAGCATCTTCGACCCTTGATCGAAGAGCGGCTGCGCAAGATGGAGGAATATGGCGAGAAGTGGTCCGAGAAGCCGGTTGGTACTAGCTTCCCCATAGGAGATGTACTGCCGAGATGCTGATGCACGCTACAGAATGATATGCTCCAGTGGTTCTTAGAAGAGGCTGAAGGCCCGGAGCGAGAGGTCAAACATTGGACTATGCGCATCCTCCTCTTAAATTTTGCGGCTATCCATACTTCGTCAAGAGTAAGTGAGCGTCAGTGGTTTGAGGCGGTTCCACGCTGATCACTCATTTGTGCCACACACCTTAAGAGTTTCACTCACGCACTCTTCCACCTTGCGGCGAACCCCGCGTATATCCAGCCTATGCGGGAAGAAGTGGAGGCTGTTCTCAAGGAAGGGGGTTGGACAAGAGCATCCACGCAGAAGATGCGCAAAGTGGATAGCTTTCTGCGGGAATCGCAAAGGATGTCTGGCCTTGGGGCCGGTATGCACACTGTTTTGACATCCTGCATGTCCACAAGTACTTACACGCGGCTCAGTCAGTTTGCAGAGAAAGGTTCTGCAGCCATTCACCTTCTCTGACGGGACCACGGTACCCGTTGGGGTCCACGTCGCAGCGGCTGCAGAATGTGTTCATTTGGATGAAGAGAATTACGCGGACGCAGACACTTTCAATGGGTTCCGCTTTGCGGAGATGCGTGAGGAGGACGGCGAGGGAACGAAGCATTCCTTAGTCACTACCGCGACCAACTATTTACCCTTTGGTCATGGCCGCCATGCATGGTGCGTACCCTTTGACAAACAGGGTGCTTCTGCATACTCAACGGCATGGCAGCCCTGGCAGATTCTTTGCTGGGACGGAGCTCAAAGCGATGCTTGCTCACCTGGTATTGAACTACGACGTGAAGCTGGAGACGGAAGGCGTGCGCCCAGCTGACAATTGGATTGGAGTGGCGCGGGGGCCGAACCGCAAGGCGGAGGTGATGTTCAGGAAACGGCAGTTTTAGTGCACTCGGGAGAATTCACGATTTCAGGCATGGCTGGATTATTTATGTTTGAAGTATTGCATGTACTAGTTTGGTTTGTATCCATACTCTGGCGACCATGTCACGAGATAGACGCTGTGGCCCAGCCACGATCGTGCTTCTGCGAGGTTAGATCTGAGATCTCATCGAGAGCCAATGACGGTATTGTGGCAGCGAGTCTTTCCTTTAACCACCACCGTGACTGCAGAATAGCTACTCTCAACAATGTCTGCAGTAACTCCTGTCCAGACGTCGACGCAGCCCGATAGTCTGCTATGTTCTCTGCCACCCGAGCTGATACTCGCGATCCTGGACCAGTTGGACCCGGTCGCTTTGTTGAGGATCAAAAGTGTCGGTAGTGATCCGGGCATTGTACCTCCATGACACTGACTCGCGTATCCTTGCAGGTCTGTCGCCTTTTCAAGACCTTAGTTGAAGATACTGCAAACCTACAGTATCACATCGAGCTCGCAGCCAATGGGCTAGTTGACGGCCCTCGAAGCGGCCTGAGCGCAACAGAGAAACTGGACATGCTACGTAAACGCCAGACGGCTTGGGATAAATTATTGTGGGTCGACCAGAAGAGGGTACCCATGACCAATGGGCATCTTTACGAGCTTTACGGAGGAGTGCTAGCCCAAAGCTCGGGGCAGCGATCCCTTGTGTTTAGACGTCTGCCGTCCCATTTCAGGCGAATCGAAGAACGTGTATGGACCATAGAGGACGTGGGTGTCAGCATGCGTGATTTTGGCATGGACCCAGGTCAAGATCTGCTTGTCATTATTGAGGAAGCGTGAGTGGCATATCACGATTAATGTGATTTCAAGCCATAATCGCAGTCTTTCGTCCATATAGCGAGGAACCCCACAAGATGTGTCGCATCCACCTCCGTAAACTATCCACCGGCGGCCCTCATCCATCGACATCTGACCCCCACATTCTCCTCCACCGCCCAGTGACCCGCTTCCCATCATCCTATAATATCCAAGTTTGCGGAGACTTCGTCGGCGTATGCTTCATGGGTGAGCTGGAAGTCGGGCCTGAACTATCGATATGGAATTGGAAGACACGTACTTTACAGATGGTGAGTAGCCCGATATCTGGCACAGACCAATGCTGATTGAAGGTTACCAAAGACACTGGACGGCCCAATCTTCTGCTTTGCTTTCCTCTCTCGGTGTCACGTCATCGTCAGCTTGGACACGATGCCCACGCAAAGCCTCAGTGTATACAACTTCGTTGATCGCGAACACGGTGCCGTTACGGTGGAGGACGAGACGCATACTTTCAAGTTCATGTTCCCGCCGTACCGAAGTCCCCTTGCGCCAGTCGACATTATTGTACGCTGCGATCCGTGCCCGGACTGGACAGCGCCTTCGGATGTTCCCTTCTACGTTGCCCCCGATAATCGGACATACGTCGTTACCCTCGTATATGACGTCCAGTTCGGGACTGTGGGCGTATATTCGCTATTCATCCCCGCATCGACGTTCCTGTCACGACTCCCGCCGCCGCAAGGATCGTATGCTGCTAGTGTTAGCGAACGGCAGCGCGATTTTGCCTGGACCGACTGGGGACCGACTGGCTGTCGCATGCTGTCGTCCCTACGGTTATCCCTCAGCTGGGTTTGCTGGGTATACGGGTCCAAGTTCGTGAGCTGGGACATGGGTGTGAGCCGAGGTACCCTGCTCAGGCCTAAGATATACGATTTCAACCTGCGGGGGCTTCGCCGGTCCGAATCGTCTGCGGAGAACAACGAGTATGAACATATGATCGGACAGGCGGACGGGGACCCTTTGGCTCTGTTCACGGAGTCTATGATTACGTCGTATCCGTACAGGATGAAGAGCACATCGCTCAATGTACCTGGGTGGACACCGACAGATACTAATAGCGTGATGTTAAGCGAAGATAGCATAATTCTTGTATCTGTGAGTGGCATGGCGGCTCTTCGGCGGTATTCTTGTACACTAATTACCACTCAGGCTGCAACTAGGAGGGAGTTCATAATACTGACATTCTAAAGGCAGTGCATACATCTACATCCCTCTCGCAGGAGAGCTGTACGTTACTGAATAAGTATATTGGAGGACAATCACAAAAGGCCAGTGGAGTCCGGGCTCAACTGAATCCATGCCTTCCTTGCTTCAACGTCTGCCACTTCGCCCTGGATCAACAGAGAATCGTTGAACGGTGCAAATGGCTTTTCATCGACGTCACAAAATGTGTGCTTCTCTGCTGGTACCGTGCCGCCGACCATATACGCCGTGATGATGTCGAAAGTGCAAAACGATTTCTGGCTGATGGAGCAATGGCCCCAACCATTCTTCTGTTGCACTAGCCTAGCGTTGTTCCCCAGGCGGGTGTTGGCGTACTTAGCACTCGCTAAAGAAGTGACAGGATCGAATGTATTTCTGGGTAACCGTCAGAGCTGACTTCATTCTGAGGCACAAAGTCCAACTTACGAGAGTACGAGGATCGGTGTATCCAGTGCATCGTCCTCGAGTTCAAACGTGCCTTCGTAACGACTGCGGCGGGGCGTCACGCCCTCCCAGACATGGCATAGAGAAAGCGGGAAAAATTTGTCACCCATCCGGTATGAGTACCTCTTGAGTTGTTCCAAGATGGATTCAGCCAGGTCGGCTGCAGAGGGTGGCTTTCTTTCGGAATCATAAGGTTTGGTATCAGAGCACTGGGAGTAAAGCTTAAGCTGGTGCCCGGGACCATATGCGATGAATGAATTACGCACAAAGATAGGATATGTCGCGTGCTCAGACCTGTCTGGCAAAGATGCGCCATTAGGATCTACCTTTGGCGAGGTTGCATTGACTATTCCGGAGAAATTCCCCCGGAGGCCGTTGTATAAGTGTTCAGCCAAATCGGGCCAAGACTGAATCCTATACATGTTATTGAACAACAATTGACGAACGTGCGACGCCTTCGCCACAGCCGGAACACGCAAGCCAGTGACGGGTACCGGCTTAGCATACAAGGAATCGATCATTTGGTCGATTGCGCCGAGTATTTCGGGTGCAGCCATGTAGGACAGGGCGCACGCATCCCCAGTGGCTTCGCAGGCGGTCGCGAATGACGAGAGAACATCGTCTATGTTATCGAGACCCTCTGCGCACAGCCTGAGAAACCCCCACCTAGTCAGATGCTCGGAGTTGCTTACCGTGGTATGCATTGATGGGGTAATCTGACCAGACGGTCGGATTGACAACCCCGTCGATCATGACGCGACCAATTCTGTGAGGGGGGAGTATCTTCACAAGGTATTGTCCAATGATTGTACCATAGGAGAAGCCCCAGACTGCGACTCGGATTGACAAAGGCTCGTGTTCAGGTGACAAATCGTCCTTACAGTTTATACGAGCGTCCTCCCCTTCAATAAGCTTCGACATTGCGTCTATGTCTCGGACGACAGCCTCAGTTCCTAGAATGAGATGTCAATAGTGTAATGCAGAGCAGCCTCGCAAAGTGACTGACCGGAATAAGCCATATATTCTCCAACACGCTCGAAACATTTCGCTGCGAGTGACGACGCCGCAGCGGTCATAAATTCGATTTGTTTCTCCAAATCTGCGACTACCTCTGCAGTGATGTAAATTGGCAGGTTCAGATCAAATCCCTCTGTCATCGACCCGAATACTTCCTGATCGAATTGTGACTGGAAGCAGGAGAGATAAGGGCGCGTTTGGTTGATTCCACGCGGGTCGAACCCAATAATGTCGTATTGCCCTTCAAGATAGCCGCATGAGAAACCCTGAGTCGTACGTCTGTCGCGCGGTACTCACCATTGAGGATCTTAGAATAAAGGATGCCCTTGGTAAAGACCGTTCTCGTCCCGGAGCCGCCTTGGTCGCGAGTAGTTCAGTCAGCTTGCTATCTGCATAACCGCGCAGCATACCTGGCCCTCCAGGATTGATGAACACAGCGCCCTTCCTGATGCACTCAATCTCCTTAAATTAGGCTGCACATCGACCACCGGACAGGCTCACCTATGAGTACCATTGGTAGCAAGGTAACGATTCACGGATATTGTGACCGTACGAGGATCACTTTCATTGTGATGATTTAGAGGGAGGGTGATATTGGCACATTGGTAGCCGTCAAACCCCTGTCCGCATGATTTCCAGTTTACTGCACCGTGTATACCATCAGCCTTCAACGGAGCATACGCAAGACTCTGCAAGCCCTGGTAAGCACTCCCTGCTAGTCCTGACGTATATACTGCGGCAGCAACAAGGACAGCGATAAGAATGGCTCTCAGAACGGCAACCTGAAGCTGGAGGGATGATGCCGGAGGGCGTCTAGGGGTCGTTCTGAATGCGACGAAGCCCTCGCTGGCAGCCACAGGCAACGAAAACTTTCCAGTGGGCATGTCTGAGACAGAAACAAGATGATATTCCCATGTCCTACGCCGACATTCAGTATCGGGCTCCGCAGGAGATACTTACGACCGAACCGCATGTGAGAGTTAGATTAGATACAGGAGAGCGTATGCCCTCCACCTGCCTTAAAAGGGAGGCATTTATTGTAATAATCGGTCGCCTTTGGGAGACTATTGGGAGACTAGTTATGGGGGACCCTCTAGATCTGCTAAAGAAAGCGTATCGGCGTAATATATTCCCGCCTTGTCGACCAAGACAGTGAGGATCCGAGTGCGCATACATGCTGGTGTAGAAACTTACAGGCTCAACTTGAATGCAGATATTTACCGCGACGAGCTCACAGCTGCAGGGCCTATAACTTGCACAAGTCGCCGCGGCGGTACTTACAATGTGGTCGGCAGACGATGACCCAATACCCTACCAGGAGTATCCTACATGTACGCGTTGTTGATATGAGCTGCATGTACGTCGGTCACCATATCGTTCATAGGGCCATTCCTGAAGCTGTACGAGGAACAGGAGCAAGCTGCTGTCGCGCAGCACGTCCGGGCTTCTTACCCGCAGCCCTGTGATCCTCAGGATTCACGGGCAGTTCTGATCTGGCGGGGGAAACGGTTCTTAGACGTGCTAAAGGGCTTCCATGAGGTCAGGATATGGCTATGGACTTGTATATGGATTACTGTGCGATGACTGTTAATACAGGGCTCGCTTGATTTGACTGGCCGCCACCCCTGGCGGTATCGCCTCTACTTCACCCGATGGACGTCATATATCTCAGCTTTCAATCGTGTGGCGAGATACACAATACTAGAGGAAGAGACGATCGGCACCGGCGATTTTACATTTCAACTGCCGCATTACGTGGTGACGAAACCTGGTGTATTGGAAGAATTTGAAAGGGAATGGAAGCCACCCTACTGGAACGTACTGTATCCCGCTACATGTATGTTCATGCATCATTCTTTCGTCACATTTGATTGTGAAAGGTTCGGCAGTGGAAGTAGTCAAGTTTATGATGGATTCTCCAGAGCCAAGATTTCAGAATATCCTCCTGACACATTTACCGACCGAAATACTCGATAGAGTCTTCTTCTTTGCGTCGTCTACACAGGCATTATTGCTTGGTTCAACTTGCCGCTTGCTTCGTGAGGTGTCGTTGAGATGGATCTATGAGGTTTGCTCCGAAAGTAGCATCTCTCCCTTTTACTGAACTTTTACATACATCAGGAAACCGGAATATCTCCGGATGGAGACAGCGTCTCCGCGGCTCCGCCATGTGAGGGATGGAGACAGGTTCTCCAGACGGAGACGAGGTCTCCATCCGGAGACACGCCCCCCCACTAATATATAGTAATCTGGGCTAAATTTTGCTCGAATGCAAAGAGGAGCACGTATAGCAAAAACATAAGCCCATATCCTGTCCCTATGTGAGGGATAGATATCGAGTGTCAGGTATACGAACTCCCGCCGAAGCCACGTGGTGTCTCCAGGAGTCTCCATCTGGAGACGCTGTCTCCGTCCTGAGCCGGACGGAGATGGCCATCTCGGGATGATGGGGGGACCTCTCCGTCGCTCCGGGGCTCCGTGTGACTCCATATGGAGCATATGGAGATTTCCGAGGTTCCTGATGTAGGGCCGTTCGCTGGTGTTCAGGTACAAGCCAGACTACAGCAAGCCCTTAGAGGAGGAAGACCAGGATGATTTAGCCGAAAATGCTAAAGCACAGCTGATGAACACCATCGATTCGCTATTGGCTAGGCCAGACATCGTCCAGAAGACTCTGAACATCCGTATATATGACGAGTGGCAATCACACAGGGACATACTAAGAGGCGATGTCAGCATATTTACCGTCAACGACGAGCTCTTCCAAGGTCTTGAACTCAACCAGGACTTTTATGGACCTCTCCTGGCAAAGATTGGGGAGTTCATCCGAGCATGTACCAATGCCACCCATCTGAGCCTGGCCTCCATACTGGTTACCCCCGTCATTGCCGGAGCCATGATATCACTGCCCCATTTGCACACTCTGAGCCTCAGAGGATGCAACTTCGCCGCAGGTCTTCCCTTATTCATGGATGAACGCGCGTCGACGCCGCCTATACTCAATATGCGCCTCAGCCATCCTCGTTTTCTTTGGGAAAACTGGTGGTATTGGGCCTTCCTTAGTCTAAGCCCTGACGTACGCACTCTTAGTGTGTCGGGCAGTAGACGAGAGCCTATACAAGTTCTCCAAGATCCTATGCGCGAAATGTACAACCCCTGGCCGACGGTGGAGCGGTTCTCTGTGACGGCGCTTGCTCCGTACCAGATCCCCACGCTAACCTCGTGGATAGAGCTTTCGAAGGCCGACTGGCCGCTCCGATTGACGCACTTTATGGTAGATACCCACTATCCCATGGACCAGGAGGACCTTTTCATGCTCGTCGATGCCCTCAGAGGTGCACCTTTGCAGATCCTAGCCCTCTCTGGCGTCCGCTACGCCGGCTTGGATCTCATTGACCGCATTGCCGAAGCATTCCCCGATCTGGTTGGTCTTACCCTCATCCATCGCTACAAGGTCATCAAGGATTTTGAGCGCGCGCGCCTTTCCATGTGGCCGCATGCTAGTTGGGAGTATGCGCCTCGCTTCGGTGCCTTCAGTCGCCTCGAGCATCTTGGAATGAATTTCTACTGTCCTCCCATCACGGGTTTCCTTGATGACGGAGTCATTGAGAGCATGGAGACTGGGGTGCCATGCGATTGCTATGTATTGCCTTGCCTCGAAGAGGAAGAGGACAACGACACGGTGGCTAGGGTGTTTGCAGTCCACTGTCCATCTCTGAAGTCGTTCACTCTGCACGCAATGCCCCTGCTGAACGCGACGTTCATCATCTCCCGCAGGCCAGATGGATACCCGATAGTCGAAGGAGAGAATAACTGGAGTGGTATATACGGGCCCATTCCCCAGCCATATTTCCCTTTGAAGTTGGGAGAATTCAGCTGGGACCCGATTTCACCGGAAGCGGCTGGGGCTTCGTCTTGAGACACGACACGTAGGACACTTCCGGGCGTCAATGCAAGTACGGCAAAGGATTCGAGATATCGTTACTATTAGATGGAGTGAAGATTATACCCAGCTACAATATCATGTACACTAGAACTATATACGGTAGAGGTATATGTCTTGCTGCATTGTATTCATCAGGACTCTAACTGGCATGTGAAGGCCCGGCGCCCGATCCATCGTCACTCCCGCGCGTTTTCGCGCCTCTCACCTCCCCATCCTTACTTCCCTGCGCCAAGCTCTCCGCCATACTTTCCCTCTCCCTATCACCCTGCACCGTACCCGGGCTCTTACTCCCCTCCTCTCTGGCATCCCCATCCTTCCCATGCCGCTCCACCCGCTCCTCCTTCCTCCCCTCCTTCCCCTCCACGGCCCTCGCAAGGTGGTCCGCGATCCCCAGGTAAAACTGCGCGGGGCGGAACTTGATCTCGCGGCCCATGATCTCCGCCCACTTGTAGCGCGCGGTGTTGATCCACCCGACGAGGTCGAGGTGGTTCACGTGCTCGAGCGTGCCGAGGTACGTGCCCCACTTGGCGGACGCGAGCGAGACGAGCCCGTCGTTCGGGCCCTCTTTCTCGAGGATGACGCCGTGCGAGAACCTAGCGCGCGGATGTTAGCTGTTAGCTTGCTGGGAGGGCTGGCACGGGAGATGCGGTGGGGTGGGGTTGTGGTGTGGTTGGTGGATACGTACTTCCAGGTGTCGATGAAGCCGGGCTCGTACACGGCGCCCCAGCTGAAGTACTTCACCCCAGGCACGTCCGGCGTCATCTCGTTGAACTTGCGCATGTTCTCCATGGTGAGAAACTCGAACGCTTTCCCGTCGCCGCCTCCGTTCTGCCAGGGACTGTGTTAGCGAGTCATCTTGGAGCGCATATAGTGGGCCATGGCGGGAGGGGGCGCCACGTTCAGAGGCAATCCGGAAGTAAAGACCGTCGACCGCCCCCTGCAGACCAAGCGCACGCAGAGGAAGGCTTACCGGTAACATGTCGAGCAGGCCGAGCACACTCGGCAGCCGCTCCTTCCCGACCGTCTCCATAAAGTAGTCAGCAAAATACGACCCCCGATGTGGAGTGGCGATCGTTGTTATGCTCAGGACCTATGAAATGCCCTTGATTCAGCATGGGGCAGTGGAAAACGACATGTCTGGGCACCTGAAAGGGGTACGGACGCTCCGGGTCCTGCTCCGAAGGTGGGGGCAGCAGATGAGTCGTCAGGTATCTACAATCCAAGCCGCCCATACTGTGCCCTAGAACGCGTTCGCCGTTAACGTCCACGCCGCGAATGTAACGCAAACCCGGAAACTCACCCACCTATCAGATGAATCTTGCGCCCCTCGTACTTCTCCTTGATCTTCTCGAAGAGCACCTGCGCGCGATCGATGGGCGAGGACGTCGCGGGCACGCGCGTGATGAGTACTTGTATGCCGTGCGATTCCAGGGCGGAGGTGATCCCGCGCCAGTGCGTTACCTGGGTTAAGGTTAGGGGTGGGGGTGGTCAGGTCAGTGGACACGTACTTGAAGCGGCGCGATGGCAGGCCCGATCGTGACGCTGTCGAAGCCGAGCAGCCCGTGGCAGAAGACGATGGGATGCTCGGGCGCGAGGTAGCTCTCGCCCTCCGCCTCCGCCTCTTTCAGCGCGTCCTCGACGTCCTCGTGGTGCCGCGTCTCGCCTTCGTCCTTGCTGTCCGGCAAGACGCCCGAGAACCACGATTTCCAGGCGGAGGGCGAGGCAGCGGTGGTGTGCAGCGGGCGGGCGTGCGCGGGCGTCGGCTGCGAGAGCGTATGCCTGTGCGCGGGCGGGTGCGTCTGGGCGCGCTCGAGGAGCGTGCGGACGGCGTCGAGGCTGGTGCGGCCGGGCGGGGAGCAGCTGAGGATGATGGGGCTGGCGGGGGCCTGGGTGTCCCAGTCGATGCTGTAGTCGCTGGGGCCGCGGTCGTGGCCGGGGCGGGCTTCGATTGGGGGGCTGGCGTTGACGTAGGGGTGGTCGAGGAGCTCGCCGCGCTCGTAGAGAGGCGGCGGGGAGGAGTAGGATAGGGACGAGGTGGGGAGGGTGGCGCGGGTGAGGGATTCGAAGAGCGGTGGCCGGAAGGAGTGTTCGTTGTTCGGCAGGGAGCGGAGGTGGGCGGTGGGAGGAGGGCGGGGGAGCGGGAGTTCAGATGTCAGTGCCTCGGCGATTCGCGGATCTGGACTGGGAAGGGGACTCGGTGAAGAGGAACGCGGAGTGCGCGCTGGAGACGCAGAGCGGGGTGAATGCGTCGGTGAATTGAGCCAGCGGAGGATCGGCAGCGTGAGCGGGTCGGGCTTGCGCGTTTCCTTCGCGGGTTCCCCACTCTTCGGAGCAGCCGATATCCGCATGTTTCCCTGGCTCGACGACGATGCAGAGGAAGACAGCGACGCCCTGGACGCACTGGCGTGGATCGCCGCAGCGGGTGCGCGCGGCCTCATGTCGGGCTCCTGTGCACCCGATTTGGTGCTTTCAATCGAGGACCGCGATGAGTTCGAGCCTGGATTCTGGACGAGGGACTGCAGTCTTTGGGAGAGCGGGGTACGCGGTCTGTCTGCGTCGGTGGATGAGCGCGAGGGCGAGTCCATCCCGACGCCATAAAGTGGTCGCTCTAACCAAAGAGCCTGTGACGTCACCGTCACTACGACTGTGTCTTCTACACTGTCCTGCAAGACAGTTGACGCTTTGCCATCGACCTCAAAGCTATCCTCGAGACGGTTCCTGAGATGGTATCAAACCGTCAGGCAAGTCTGGGACGCCCACAGACATGACTTCTCCCGCTGCGTGTCTTGTCTGGTATGACTCGAATGCATACTGAGTCTTCCTGACGCTCCCCCTCTTTTTGTGCACGGTACCTACCAGCATGTCTTCCCCCGACCTTCCGACAATCGAGGCAGCGGATCCTGCCAACTTCCCGCTCGACTCGTTCAAGATAGCCATCGCAGTGGTCCTCTCCAATGCGCTCCATCTTCCCCTCAGCACCGCGTTCTCTGGCGTCGACTATGGTAAAAAGGGTGTAGACTTTACGGTCGCGGTTCCCCGCTTCCGACTCAAAGCCAACCCTGCCGAACTGATAGAAAATTTTACCAGCACGGTGCGTGGTACGTTCAGTCCCATTGGCATCGTAGTGCTGACCTTTCCCACTGCCAGTTCACTCCCAACCACTACCTCGAACGATGCATCGGAGATGCAGCCTTCCTTCACTTTTACGTCCGCACCCCGACGCTCCTGAAACTCGTCCTCGACCGCATCCATCTGCCGCCCTCTCCGTCCCGACCCTCTTTCGGGTCGAATGTGCAAGGGACTGGCAAAAAAGTCATCGTCGAGTTCAGCAGCCCGAATATCGCAAAGCCCTTCCACGCAGGCCATCTGCGGAGCACCATCATCGGCACGGTTCTGTCGAACATTTCTGAGGCTAACGGGTGGGACGTTGTCAGGATGAACTAGTGAGCGTTCATTGTGTCTGGGCTCGGAAGTTGGCGCTCATCATTGACTCGATTCTCTTGACGATAGTCTAGGTGACTGGGGGAAACAATTCGGTACCTACCCGTCATCCACTTTCTTATCCTGGGTGCCCATGTCTTACTTGTGTGATTCTTGACCAGGACTTCTCGCTGTGGGTTTCGAGCGCTATGGATCCGAAGAACTGTTGGCCCAGAACGCCATCATGCACCTCTTCGACGTCTATGTCCGAGTGAATCGCGATGCCGCACACGAAAAAGAAAGTAGCCAACAACGACTCACTGACGAGAAGGCTCGCGAAGTCTTCCGCAAGATGGAGAGTGGTACGTCCCGTGTCGCTTACTCGTACTCAATCCTATAACAAGGAGCATCAGGCGATGAAGCGACGCTGTCTCTGTGGCGCCGATTCCGCGAGCTCTCGATCAAGAAGTACCAGGAAGTGTACAATAGGCTACATGTGCGATTTGACGTCTACGCGGGGGAGTCGCTCGTGCGCTCGGAGCGGATCCAAGCTGCTATGGCTGCTCTAGAAGCGAAGAACCTTCTCACGGACAAGACGTCGAAGGAGAGCGATACTAACTGGAAGGAAACGAAGGCGGCTCTGAAAAAGGGTGTGCCGGATTCTGTCGACGACGGGGACGAGGACGACGCAAGTGGTGAAGCACCTGCAAAAGCCGTCGACCTTAGCCAGTGGAAACTGGGAAAGCCTGTCGTACAAAAGCCTGGTACGAGTTCTGGGCCTTCCAGTCAAGTAAATACCTTATCCAGATATAGATGGTACCACTATCTACATAATGCGGGACATCGCGGGTGCCTTCCAACGATACGAAGAATACAAATTCGACAAAATGATCTACGTCGTCGGCAACCAGCAGGAAGCGCACGTAGCGCAGTTCTTCAGGATCCTCTCCCTCCTGGACGCCCCCTTCGCCGATCGCCTCGAACATGTGAGTTTCGGCAAGGTGAACGGGATGAGCACGCGCAAGGGGGACGTCAAGTTTCTTGAAGAGATTCTTGACATGGCAAAGGAAGCCATGCTGGCGCAGATGCAGCAGAAGGAAGATAAGTTCCAGGATGTGGAGGACCCCGATGCGACTGCGGATCAGATTGGCATGACGTGCGTCAAGATACAGGACATGCGGGCGAAAAGGTGAGTGGACTGCTGCTGATCTTGTGCGCAGGATGCTCAAGCACACGTTGCTGTAGGATACATTCGTACAATTTCGAACCCCAGCGGATGACGTCCTTTGAAGGCGACACCGGCGCATATTTGCAGTACGCGCATGTTCGACTGCGCTCCGTCGAGCGCCGGGTCGCCCCTACAGTCGTCTTGCCAGATGACCTGTCGCAAATCAACCTGGATCTTTTGGCCGAGCCGAAAGCGCGAGAGATCGTCTTCATCCTGGGGACGTACCCGGACGTCGTGCGGACGGCTCTGAAGACGTACGAGCCGAGTAATATCGTCTCGTTCAGCTTCAGGTGCGTCCAGTTTCACAAGCCTTCTCTGTTATTACGTGTCTCTCGTTGACGAATGCATCCAGACTCAGCCATGCCATTAGCTCCGCTTGGGAGACCCTCATCGTGATGGGCCAAGAGCGGGAGCTTGCGCAAGCGCGTCTTTTTCTTTACACCAGCGCGCGAGACGTGCTGGCTAGCGCCATGCGGTTGTTATCGCTGTCTCCGCTTTCTCGTATGTGAGCATGATTGTATATGTTGTCGTTTTGCTTTCGCATTGCTGTCGATGTCATGCGTTGGAGAATATGCATTGGGGAGTTGGGAATAGAGAAGATGAAAATACTAGCACGTCGATAACCTTTGGCGTTGAAAGCATATGAACTTCAGAGTTGCTCACTGCGTAATGTGGCGAGCAAGCCGAGCTACACTGCAGGATATACCGACGTCCTAATCGTGACGTCACCGTCACTACTGCCCTTTATCCCGAGCCCATGAGCGCAGGCCATCCGATCTTGCCTTCTGTGTTGCCCTCAGCTCCTGCTCTGCAAGACGGTTTGTTGTCACTTCCGCGTCTAATGCGCAAGGGTTGACACCATATATGTTAGTCGAGACGACGCCGGAGCAAATCGCAAAGGGCGTAGGGAAGGTTGCCACACCCGCTGAGTACGTCTACTATTAGTGTGCCTCTGGGGAACTCATGAAGATATCGTTTTCCGGGTTTGCCAGCACTCCCATATTCATATGTGCATTCGATGGTACGTCAACATCTTTGCCTTACCTCCATTTGTGCGTGCGCCGCTGACGCGGGTACCGCCCGCAGAATGCTACCGTCTCTTCCCCAACCGCGACCGTCTAATGGCGCACCGCAAACGTGACCATGGTACTGAGGAGGCGGGAGACGTAATCACTTGGAATGAGTGAATATACAGTATAACGCTCGACGCGTTTTCAGCTTCAAGCGCAGTCTCGCTTGCCCTCCGTTCGGGTGTGAATCAAGGATCTCGTTCTAAAATAGTACAGTGTTGGTGGGGTACGTCCGTTCTTGTTCCCCATCTGCAGCTAAATCAGATGCTGATTGTAAAATAGGATCAGGATCAGCAGTTGGTTGTTTGGACGAAGTGATGAGAAGGCCAGCGGAAATGGGGGCAAACCAGCGGCTTGATGATCTTTGCTAGCCCTGATTACAGCGGGAGTATGGTTCAATCCTCATAGAATTACTCGCCTTGGATAGGGCCTTGGTCACGGGCCGTTGGACATAGGACGGCACTAGAGATAACGAGTCTGTGGCTGAAGGTATACACAGTGCCCTACAAGCATGCGGAGTTGGCCCTCCAGAGTGAGAAGATCACTATCTCAAGACATCTCGTAAGCAGCGACCGCGGCGGAAGTGGTAAGGTCAGCTGAAAGCATAAGTGGACGTGAGGCGGTCCTGCCAACTGAGAGCAGCCATGGGAAGGTGCTGGGTAATCATGTTTCTTGAGATAGATGCATCTCTCGGTCTTGGACTAGTTGGACGAGGATCATCAATCATGGCCGTGCGAGGTACCGTCACCTCGACATGACACGGTTACCACTAGTCAGCGCATCGAGGACGTCACTTTGTACCTGTCCAGCACGCGAAACGTTCGACTGGGGTTATTCCTGCTCAGCGCCAGGATTTCTTGCTTTCTGGGTTCAATTCGCGAGGCGATCCATATAAGCGTGAGCGTGCCATAATAAGGCGGATCCGAAGCTGAGGAGTTCGGGCTCGACGGCATTCTCCGCTATAAAACCGCAGAGCGGACGCAGCGGGTCGGCCTCGGTTTTCTCGGTATGCCCTGCAGGCCTGTCGAGTGTAGGCGTGTCCAGGTAAGAAAGGATGCGAGAGGATTGCAAACGCACGGGCCGCCACTCGCATTAACGCGTCGAGGCAGCCTGCCTTCTATGGCAACAGCATTGTCGTTATGGCAATTGAGGAGATGAGAGGGGATATGTGCGAGCCAACTGACAGCAGGCATGGATGAGCGGTGTTATTGTGGTTCCTTTAGACGCCAGATATGTTCTGCAGAGCATCATAGAGCGTTATGGCCAGCAAAGACGGGAGTATATTAGACAAATGAAAGTGGGAACAAAGGCTGGAACGAGGGGGATTGAGACGCCGCAAATAGTAGCAAACTTGCAGCCATCACAGCACGGAAAGTTGCTGGCGCACGACGAAGGCGCCTGAGTTCTCATACAGGCAGGGCCTGTCTATCCTTACCCTTTCTTGCCAGTCATACCCGGCTTTGTATCTTTATAATTCCGCCCACCACGTTCGGCAGCCATACCGTCCCTCCTCGGATCCAGAGGTCGAAGAATGTCCTTCTTCTCCAGGAAGAAGCATCCTAGCCAGAGCCAGCTGCAGTCCCAAAATGTAACTGTCGCCCAAGCACCCAGCGCTGCTCTGGCTCAGCTCAAGGAAGGTCAAGCTCAGCAGCAGGCCCAGCAGCAACAACAGCAGCAGCAGGCGAGAGATGCTCTTGATTCGTGAGTCTGGGTTCCTCGGTTGATAACATACATCTCTTAGCCTTCTGTCTATACGAAACGGCCGCCTTCGCGCACGTTGTCCGTCCTCCTCACATACAGTGCCCAATCCCAAGGCCAATCGCAGGGTATGAACGGTCCGCAGGCGTCCGCCACAAACGGCGCCCATCCAAGCCAGCAGTCGCAGCCACGTCAAAACGGCACTGGGCCGACACCGCAGCCGCCCGCCTCATCACAGCAGGCCCAGCAACAACCTTCGCAGCAACCTGGGCAACAGTCGCGGCCAGCATGGCCGTGGTCCCAGCGTCGGCTGAATCTCCCCCCTCCGCAGGTCCTGCCCAAACCAGGGGTAGCTCCCCCAACGTCGCCGTCGCCATCACCCTTCCCTAGGTACGGTCATGCCATGCCAATGACACCTACGAACTCCGGAGATCTGTATCTATTCGGAGGGCTCGTCCGAGAGACTGTACGAAACGATCTGTATCTGTTTTCCGCTCGCGATCTCTCGGCGACGTTACTTCAGACGGGGGGCGAAGTACCGTCCCCCCGAGTCGGACATGCATCTGCCCTTGTCAGTAATGTCCTTATCGTGTGGGGAGGGGATACCAAGACGGACGGCAAAGCGAGGCCCAACGATAAGCTGGATGATGGGTTATACTTGTTGAATCTCGGTGAGAGCGCATATCCCTTCTAGTATGACGTTTATCTGACTGGTAGTGCAGTTTCTCGAGAATGGACTCGCGTAGGCGTCCAGGGTCCTAGTCCCGTAGGACGGTACGGGCATGCTGTTACGATGGTGGGCTCCAAATTCTTTGTATTTGGAGGTCAGGTCGACGGCCAATTTCTCAACGACTTATGGGCTTTTGACCTTAATTCTCGTGAGTACTGCCAGAGGCTATGTGAAAGATGGATAATGACCATTCTGCCGTTCTTTAGTGAGGTCGAAGGCTACATGGGAGCTTTATGAGCCGACATCTGGTCCTAAGCCAGCTCACCGAACTGGTCACGTCTGTATCACATACGGTGACCGCGTGCTCGTGTTCGTGCCCGTCATTATCTCCTTGCTTTACAATTGCCTGACACATCGATATCTGCATCAGCTTCGGCGGTACTGACGGGCAGTATCACTACAACGACACTTGGGAATTTAATCTCGCCACTCGAAGATGGACCGAGCTCCAGTGTATCGGTTATACACCCGCGCCCCGTGAAGGCCATGCTGCTGCGCTGGTCGATGATGTGATGTATGTGTTCGGGGGACGGGGTGTTGATGGCAAAGATTTGGGTGACCTGGCAGCATTCAAGATCACCAGTGAGTCTCCTTCCCCTACCGTGCCGTTCTACTTACCTATGCGTCTCCCAGACAACCGATGGTTTATGTTCCAGAACATGGGCCCGTCTCCCAGCGGCCGATCTGGGCATGCCATGGCATCCATGGGCACCAGAGTTTTTGTTCTGGGAGGCGAATCTTACGCTCCTTCAAAACCAGAGGATTCCACTCTCATTCATGTCCTCGATACAAGTGTGTTTATATATTATATATCGCCAAATTCATCCTCTGACACTATATTCCAGAACACATCAAGTACCCAGATCCCAGCAGCAAGCCCCCTCCAGCAAATGGTGCAGCAATTACAGGCAGAAAGTCGTCCATCGGTGGACCACAAGCGCCTGGTGGCCCGGCGTCCTCTTCGCCCCATCCAAGCTCGATCATCAATGGCACTCGCTCCATGTCTCCTTCCGTCCAAGGACAAGACTCTAATGAAGAGTTACGCCGTGCCATGTCTCCTCCAGGTGGCAGACCAGGCGTAAAACCGATGAACGGCACAGCGCAATCACCCTTCCCGAGTAGTGCCAAAGGAAAGGCGCCTATGCGACCCAGGCGGGATGACGAAGAGGGCCTCACTGATGACGGTCACGATGCTGCTACGTCAGAATCCGTTATCAGAGAGAGAGCTGCGTCCCCCGAGCAAGGGCAGACACGAGCGAAGAGCCCGACATCTCACCCCAGTCGCGCGGTCTCCCCTGCCGGCCAACCCGATTCTTATGCAGTTCAGCAGCCAGTGAATATGGCCAGTGTGACCTTGGCTAAGAATGGACTAGCTGGTAGGAGTCCCTCGCCCGTCGTGGATCGCAGCAAGGCCCCACCCGACGCCTTCTATAACCCTGCTTCAGGAACGCCAACAACACCTAATGGATACGGTCATGTCAAAGCCGGACCCGGTTCTACAGGTAATATTACGGCAGACCTGATCAGAGACCTGAAGGCGAAGGAAGCCGAGATGGACACGATGAAGAAGCGAGAGGCGTGGATGAAAGCGATCCTCAACCAAGCCTCGCGTTCTGGGTTCGTGTACTCAGACATGGACTCGAAAGATGTCACAGAATTGGACACCAATGGCTCAGCTCAAGATATAGAAGGGGATAAGATTGCTGACATGGTCCTGAGCTTCAAGCAGCTGAAGGCTAAGATGCAGGTGAGCCATTATTATTGTGTGCAGTCATCAGCATGTAACCCGCGTCTAGTCTATGCTTGCTACACAAGCTCGGGATGCTTCCGAACGTGTGTCTGAGGCCTTGAAGATGCAGTCCAGCGCTGTGCAAGAGGCTGCGTATTATAGGGCCAAACTCTCTGCTTATGAGTCTGGTTCGGAAGGAGACATTGCTCGTTTGGAACGCGAGAGGGTCCTCGAACTGGAACGGCAATTGTCGAGCATGGCATCTCTGGCAGCAGAGAAGGACCGTAAAATTGCCGAACTTGGCGACTCTCTATCTTTACAGACTACTTTGCTGGAGCAGGCCGAAGCTCGGGCTGCCGATTCTTCGAAGCGGGCCGAGATGGTCGAGGAAGCCCACGAGAGGACGGTACGGGAGCATATGTCTCTGCAGGAGAAGGCGGTCGCGCTTGAGGCTACTGTCCGAGATCATGCTGATCAGCTTCTCACTCATAAATCTGCGTTGGAGCAGAAGGAAGCCGAGCGTGCTCGTTTGGAAGCCATGGTTGAAGAGCTGACACATACTCGGGATCAACACGTTCGCGTTCTGGATCAAACTCGTGCTGCTTTGGAGGCCGCCTCGGCCCGGTCAGATGAAGTGGATGCTCAACATCAACGGACTCGGGAACACCTCAATCAAGTGGAGGCCGATCTCATCGATCTCCGCGGGGAACTGGAAGCTCGTACCTCTGAAGTCGAATCCCTCAGGGCAAGGCTAGTAGAGACAGAAAACTCATGGGCCAAGTCACGCGAAGAGGCCGATGCCTTCCGAGCGCTCACTACTGGTAGTATTGGAGAAATACTGGACTCGCATCGCGATCTAAGGGCTGACGAGGATCGTATGACTCGCGGTCACGCCGATAAGGTACATGCTCTGGAGGAAGAGAATCGCTCGTTGCGCGGAGTGTTGAACGACTCTACGCAGCGCCTCGACGACGCGCAAAAGGAACTTCGCGAGGAACGTCGACGACTTCGAGACATTGAAGCTGACAGGATGGCCTTGCGAGCTCAGGTGGTCGGTCTGCGCGCACAATTATCCAACGCGCTGGCCGACAGTGGCCGAATGCGAAAGGATCTCATTGCCAAAGAGTCGGAACTCAGACAAAAGACGAAGGAGGCGGCCGATGCCGATATACGGCTTGGTACTCTGCGCAACTATCTTGCAGAGAATGGTATCATTGCCGAGGAGGATAACAGTGAAGGTCTTTCTCGTCTTGAGGAGCTGGAGAACAAGTTAGAAGAGACGGCCCGGCTGCATGAGCAGGCAGAAAGGGAGCTGGACGTGATTTCAAGACAAAAGCGAGATGCAGAAGCTCAAGCAAATGAGCTCAGTATAGAGCTGACTAGGATCCGCTCAACGCAGAGTCCTTCGAACCAGAAGGTGGATCCAGCCGCAGTTCTGCGTGCTAATGAGCTTGAGCGGCGTCTGGAAGAGACTGAACGAGGATATAAGTCGCGCTTACAGCAGCTTGAAGAAGATTACCAGCTTGCCGTCCACTATGTGAAGTGAGTGCAGGCAAGTTCTTTTGTATATATAAACCGATGATCTTACCGATAATGAAGAGGGACTGAGAAAATGATGCGCAAGATGAAGGACGAGTTAACAAAGCAGAAAACCCTCAATTCAAACCTGCAGGCGGAGCTGGATGCGACGCGTGGATATGATGCGGGCTCTAGGCTCCGTGGTATGAACGGACGCGGCACTCCTTCGTCTGACGATGGACACGAGGCAATGCGTGGCCAACTCGTGGAAGCTCAGCGTCAGGTGCAACGTCTAACCAGCGACAATAGGGATCTCCGCTTACGGTTAGACTCCCTCGAGCAAGATCTTGAACGCCTCCGAGACAATCTGGTTGCTTCTCAGAGGGAGTCAGACGACCGGTTGGCCAGGATAGAAGAATTGGAGCAGGAAATCGAGAGACTTCAAGCATCCTTGGTCGTCGCTCGCGGAGGCAACGACGAGACACTCCTTGAACAGCTCAGCAGGGAGAATACCGACCTCAAACGAGAGAACGAGCAGTTATCGCACAAGATAGGGCTTCTCCTAGAAGTAGATCAGCCTGCGTTCGGCCAAGCTCGTCCTCTATCTGGTATATCCGCTCGTCGTGCCAGCAGTTCCAGCTCGGAAGCCGCCCTAGCGTTTGAGCATCTTTCGAACGAACTGGATGATTGGCAGCGACAATTAGCCAGCTCTATGAGCAATCGCAGGCCGCTCAGTGATTTCGACTCTGATCCCATAAGAGGGCACGAACGGACTCGGTCCAGGTCATAGCCTTCCTTTTCATTGTACATATATACCCCATCATCTTGTCCCCTGCAAAGGTGTCTCCACACTCCTTTAGTCATGTTTGCATCCTACATTATTTGTCTCTCTTCACAATTGCTTTCGGGTCTACTATTTTCGATTATATATTGCAGTAGTATGGTTGTGCTCTCCTCATGCGCATATAATGATATTAGGTATTTGCTGGCAAAGCTTCGGTTAGGTATGAATGGTAAATTACTGCATGCATGCGTGGAGAACAAGGTAGGCGGTCTAGATAATCGACTCAGTCACTCCCACTAGCTCTTTGCGTCCACTCGATGGCCTTCTGCTTCACAGTCGCCTGCCCGTCTTCATCGCCGATCCTTCGTTCCAGTTCGAGCCATTTCTTAAACAGGGTCCTAGTCAACGTATTAGACAATATAGGGAGGATAGATATATTACGACGTACTTCGCCTTGCGACTTGTCATTTTCTGAGTGAATATACGGCCAAACAAGTTTCTGAACCCAATGGTTTCAGGTAGGTCAAATCGCTGTGTCTGGTTTGGACTGACCTGATATTCTGGATCTCTCCTTGGACAGCTTCCATATCTATATACACCAGCCACAGATCATGGCGTTTAGGATGCGAATCGATTATGCCCTCAAAAATGGTTCGCCCTCTTTCCGGATCTCCTAACTTATATTCGAGCTGAGCGAATTTTGAGATGGTTTTAAGGTCTGCAACGCTTTCAGAATCATCCTGTTAAGTCTGCAAATGCAAAATTGACATACGCTTCCGCTTCTCTAGACTTTGGAGGCTGCGCGGGAGCAGACTTCGGGCCTCTTCCAGCCTGCCATGCCTCAGGTAATGCTCACAAAAAAGCGTCCACACTTTCGAGCTATGACCGAACTTCTTTGTAGTCCGCTTAAACTGCTCCTCGGCCCGCTGGCGGAATGGAAGTTAGTCAGGGACTACGCAAGGTAAATGTAACCGTACGTCATGTTTCCCGGACTCGTCAAAGATTGCAGCGAGACGGAGATGCACCGTCTTCGAATCACTACTCCTCGCAGCCTCTTTAAAAGTGTTCTCCAAACTTTCGTCTGTGCCGTACACGTTCTCGAGATTGAGCAAAGCCATCCAGATGTTCAGCTTTTCAGCCTCCTCCCTGAAATTGATCGTTCTTAGCGCGCGCCGACCGATGTCCCTAGCTTTCTCTATCTCGGCGAGCCGCAACTGGAACGACATATACTGTATCCAGATGTAGGATGAATTAGGCGATCCCAGGAGGAGACGTTCGAAGTCTGCGCTTGACTCGGGCGTCTTCGTCTGTAGGTCCGCAGTCAAGTCCTGCTCGACCTTTTTCCTTCGACGCTTCCTCTTTTTCTTGCCCTGCTCCTCGCCGTCACTGTCGTCAGAAGAGCTAGCAGACTCTGCATCACTATCCAATGATTCGCGGTCATCCCCCCATTTGAATCCTTGTAGCTTGAGGGGAGGGAGGGACTGTTCGGCGTCGATGCCATTATCGTCACCTTGGTCAGGGATGATATCACCCCCTGTATGCGATCTGTCGTCGACATCCATCACCATTTCTTCTTCTGATTCTTGGTCGGCGGACATTTCCTCTTCGCGTTCGGAGTAACCACCATTACCCTGAATGTCGTGCAAGATAGGTTCATCCTCCACAACACCTAATGTTGCCTGAAACTCTGTCGAGGCAGTTGACAGTTGGTCGTCCTCGTCTGGCACAACAAATTCCTCGTCCTTGAAATACGATGGTTTGAGGCCCAGTGATATTCTGTGCTTCTCAGAATCAAGAGACAGTATAACGGCCTTCACACGATCACCCTCTCGGAAGCTTCGCAGAGCTAATGTGACGTCTGCATCTTTGTTATCTGAAAGCTATTCACTCGCAGTCAATTTTGATAATGTATCATGGAGGGAATTATATACTGTACCTCTGACTTATGGCAGAGTCCAGTGAGCTTCGATCCCTCGATCCCGATGAACAGGCCATAATCTTCGACCTTCTTCACGCGACCATCTACCTTCTGACCTTCGTGTAGGTCGGCGAAAGAGATGGATGGTGAAACTTTACTCATGGTGCCAGACCGGAACGACATCTCCACTTGCTTCTTCTCGATGTTGACGCTGCATACAGACTCAGCCAGCTTGTTACAGAAGCGACATGGGGAGCATACCTCAGAATTCTACCTTTGACCAGTTGATTTGCCACAAATCGGGGTTTCCAGTCTTTGATATACTAAGAGAGTGTGAATCATACGTGGCTATACGTCGAAAAGCTGTACGTACTTCGTCAAATAATTCCTTGATTTGTACACGCGCATCTATTCCGCGACCAATAGTAACGAACAGCCCATGTTCAGTGACACTCTTGATAAAGCCCCGCAGGGTGTCGCCAACTTTGATTTGAGCGTGGTCTTGGATCTCGGGATCCACGATGGGAGGATGTGAATCTGGGTTCAGTCTAGACTGACGAGTTGATAGCGTAAGATGTTTCTTCTCCTTGTCAATAGCGAGGACAGCCGCTTTCAGAACGGAGTCAGGAGAGGGAAATGGTGTTCCGAACTCGTAGTCATCGCAAGCATCGGTGGGATGCAAACTACCATGGATTTGGTTAGTTAGCTTGATATACGCGCCCTTAGGGCCATGTCGGAGGACACGACCGCCAACGACCTGGCCTACTTCCAGGGTCTCCAAGGATATTGCACCTTTTGTCACTAGGGCGTCCTTCCCCTTTGGTCTGCTAGCAACTACCACGAAACCCTTCTCTGCATTGCGCGAGACTACAACGAGATCGTCCAGTTCGTCACCGGGTTGAAGAGATACTCGGAGTTGGGCGACCGTCAGACCGCGACGGTTAGCAAGATTACCGAGTGACAAAAGGGCTCGGACCTGCGTTGGCTGCAGTGTGACCACAACATTATCCTTGTGGATTTCAGCTACGGTGCCGTGGACAATATTACCAATTTCAACACCGCTGATGTCCACGATTGCAGACTTGTAATTCGGTGCTGCCTGTCGAATACTTGCTACTATACGGTGTGCCTCGGGGTTGACTGAGATGATTCGCACTGTTACAGGTTTCCCGATTGGGAAAGCTTCTGCGAGGCGACCAGAAGCAGTCTCGCTGGAGGGAATATGAGACGCATGCCTGCGAGTAATGACAGGACTACGTACCTTATCTCCCTGGAGGGGATTATCGCCTTTAAGCCGTTATAGAACTCGACATTCAAGTTCTTCTCCGACACCTTGAAAACCACAGCATGTGTGACGACGCCCGGTTTGGCGTCATTCAGCCTCGCCACAACTGGCAGCGTGGACTCGATCAAGGTCTTCTTTGCTGTAAGGACGACCCTTTGTCGTTCGGGGTCAACCACTAGGACCTGGCTATGAAGTCAGCCGATATCTTATACTACGAGATATCAAGCATACCCGACATCGTATTGAACTACCTGGTTTAAATCTTTTCTGCGGGTGCTTGAGGGCGATGTCAGCATAATGATTTGGCCAAATCACCCCATCCACACTGCCCGAGATCGACACGAACATTGCCGAATCCGTGAGCTTCTTGATAGTGCCCTTGATGATCGACCCGACCTCCACGTCGCTCACTTGAAGGAATTTCTGATCTAATATCGACGGACGCATAGACAACTGCAAGAGTCCGTCGAAAGGCAGATATCCCGTAACTCGAGCCCGGTGCAGAGTCCCCACTTTCCATGGCCCTGAGTTGGCAGAGAGTGTTGGAACGTGCTCGTCCGAGGTTTGTGAGATCTATGTAGTAGGTGTTAGGTCACTAAGATGCAACGGGTAACTTGTACTAACATGAATGAATCCTGTCAGTCCCGGCTGGACTGCAACAATGAGTCCCCGCTCGGATTCGACTCTCACAACTTCCACATTATCTAAGATTTGGCCAACAGGATATGCCTCTGGCAGGCTAAGAGCTTGCTGAGTTGTGTCTTCTCGTTCTGCACGCTTCACATCGCGTTTCACGATATGATCCAGAAGGGAGAGCGCAAAGCGTGGGGGAGCAGTTCCTGGGACATCGTACAGAATGCGGCCTTTCACCTTTTGCCCGATCCTGTACCCTTGCTCAACAACCTCCGCACGAACATGATATTCGTCCACAGTCGCTTCGAAAGAACCCAATACTTGCAGATTCAATCCACCAGGAAGAACGGCAGTAACCAACGAGTGCACGAGCATTCCGGGAATAACCGAGGACACATTGCTGATTTCCGATATCTGCATGAATAAGCATGTCTTCGAGGTTTGTCATGCGTCGCAGACGACTTACTGAGGCATTAGCGAGACTTTTGGGGTCAACCGACACAGTGCATGTACGACCATTGCCAGACATCGCGGACACGGCAACATCGAGTATCTGGCCAACGTGGAGTCTCGCATCTTTTGGGAAGGGTCCCTTCTCAGCCTCTCTATAAGAAAGGAACCCGGTAACATTCGGTACACCCAATTCCAAGATGTAGCCGTGATCTTCAAGACTAGCGACGGCGGCCGAGATTGTCTGCAAGAGCCGGTGAGCTACAATTGAGCTACGTGAAAGTGATATAAACACATACCAATCCGGTCTTCATATCGGCCTTTGCCAGACCTTCGTTCACTTTCTGCGGAAGCAAGCTCATCTCAATCCTCCGGCTAGCCTTCTGCGCTTCATCCTTGGCTCGACCCATAAGTGTCGAGTCTGTAGATCCCGAAGGATGGACTGCAGTCACGATCCCGCGCACGTACTGACCTGCACGAAATAACTCGTACAGGTCAGGGACCCGGCCGCCGCTAGTCGGCGAGTCCTCATCCTCATCACTAGCTTCAGGCATTTCTTCATCCTCGTCCAGCTTTTCGAGGCGCGAAGTTAGCTGGGAAGATATTTGGGTAATGGGGACATGAGCCCATAGTTGGTTTGGAAGGGAGACGACGAGAGCTAACGGCTGGACGGAGAAAATCTGGCCGTATAGTTTCATACCAGGAGTGATACGCTTCAGTTACTAGTCAGTACGGGTTTCACTGCGCACAAGGTGAACACGCGTACCTTGTAATTCAGATGTTCAGGTCGGATTGTCCCGCCGTTGCCTTCCTCCGACTTGTGCTTAGCCTTTAGCTCGGACTTCCTCTTCCTTGGTTTGGTCTGTGAGCCGGACACCTTGCCATCCTAAACGTATGTGAGCAACTAGTCCACACATCAAGATGAATACTGTACCCACTTTCAGCAGTTCTTCATTGGCTTCCTTGACCGCTTCCGCGCGGAGAGCCTTGACTTCTAAGGGGGTAAGGGTTGTCCCCCCACCTCTCGGAAAGTCTACTTCTTCAGTTAAGAGTGAAGTACGCTGCGGCGGCGGTTGGACATCTTTGGTCTTCTGTTTCTTGTCCGGGGACACTTTAGCTTTCTTTGGACTTGGCGCAGATGCTTTTTCAAGGGGCCGCTTCATTGCAATATTTGATTTAAGCGAAAATACCCGTCCAGATGCTAGTTGGTGTAGTAGTGTGCAGTTCAAATCCAAAACCGAGGCCAGCCAGACTCTAGGTGTATCCCTGAAAGTTTTCAGCCACAGCACCGATCAGAGGAAGTAAAGAGCAAGGCGTGGGAACCTGTGCTCGTTACTCGTGCTTCTTCGAGCTCCCTTTCGTCGCGTCGACTCTTCCAACGCTCTCACCTTCATCTGAGGTCGTACTCTCGAGATGGGTACGTCCAATAGCTCAATATGGTCAGGCTCGAACTAATCCATTGTTTGTAGATTACCAGGTATGTGCTGCCGTGCCAGTCGAGAATGATGTGTTTATACGCGGCCTTTCAGAATCGAGTTGGATCGAAGTTCGGTGGTGGTGGTGTTGCCGGGGCGTCCGAGTCAAATGTCGACCGACGTGAGCGCCTGCGGAAGCTGGCCATGGAGACGATTGATCTGGCCAAGGTGCGTGGACCGCGGAATCGTGCCCGAGGCCTTTGACGAACCAGGGTATAGGATCCTTACATTCTCCGGAACCATCTTGGCTCTCTCGAATGCCGCCTTTGCCTGACTTTACACACCAATGAAGGGTCGTACCTTGCACACACGCAAGGCAAAAAGCATCAGACGAACTTGGCTCGCCGAGCAGCACGCGATGCGAAAGATACGCAACTGACGATCGCCCCGCCGCAACAGAATATCCAGCGGAAGGTCTTCCTCAAAATTGGTCGACCAGGATATCGGGTCACCAAAGTTAGGGACAGAGACACCGGCAAGGAGGGGATGATGGTTCAGGTCCACCTTCCTCAAATCAAGCCGGGCGTTATACCTCGGAGGCGGTTCATGAGTGCATGGGAGCAGAAGCGTGAGCCACCAAACAAAAACTATCAGTATCTTATCGTACGTCCTCTTTCCGCCTCTTGGGTATCTAGGATTCACTTAGGCTGCATCAGGTCGCTGCGGAACCATACGAAAGCATTGCTTTCCGTATCCCTGCCAGAGAAATTGAGGATGAGTCTGATGACGCTGGATACTGGAACTGGTCTCATTGGGACCCCGATACGAAGCAATACACCTTCCAGTTTATGTTCCGCCTCATGGGGTACTGATGGTCATACGGTGGTGTGATCCTTGTTTGCCATGCTTATCTCTCGCGCTGTATCTTAATATTTGTATCATAGTACAATGCAGGTTGAAACCCAGCTCCTGTCTGCCTTGTATTGTCCTTCAGGACCTCCGTCGTAACTCATTAGAAGTCACATTCGACGAAGTCGTTTCCGGATGCGCCAGTGTGAGTGAGGCAAGCTATGCCGTGGTCTTCAGTGAATGTCTCGCTGAGCATTCTTAAATGAGAAACGCACCGCAGAAATCTCCATCGTCGTCGTAAATCACCCTGTCTGCTCCGGGGCTACCACCGTCGTATGCGTCGCCACTTTCGAGGGGAAATTCGTAGAATGTCCCACTGCACGACGGGAAAGAAAATCCCTGACAAACGCGGTCCCGTAAGCCAGACATCCTACCATGCAAGGGTTGTAAGTCCCCACGAACCTCATAATCATGGTACTGATGAGGGTAGTCGCTGCACGCGAGAAGCATCAATGCAACGTCAGATCTCTCGCATCTCATGGCTACACACCCAGCTCCTCCGTCTTCTGCGGCCTCGATGGCCTCGGAGATGTCCCTGCTGCTGTACTCCTTGTTGCCACACGTGCAACCTCCCGATTGCCTCCTAGCGATGAGAGCCTGGGTACCGGTGACCAGGGCGAAGAAGAAAACACAGGCCACGGAGAGTCTCATGTCGACTAGCAAGAAAGGGGTAGGTAATGAGCGGGAGAACCGGTGGGGGAGGGCGAGGGCGCTCGGTTATCTTCCCCCCATTGACTTTGCTTTTATGCCTTTGACGAGGCTGGCAAATTCACTCTCGCTGTCAGTCGATTTCGTTGTGCATGTGCGTTCCCGTCGCCCCGAAAATCAGTACCATATGGTGGAAGACTCGGACTTCTGGTGCTCGACTATCGCCGTTCGCCGTGACTGTTGGCTATTCTTGATAGAGGAGGCAAGCTGCCAATTCTACTTTGACTGGTCCGCTACGCATGTGCGTCTTGGTTTTACCCCGGAAACGGTACCATATGCTCGACCCTCACGATAGCAACTTCTGAGATGACGGATTGATCAGATGCATGGCTTGAAGTTTCGTCCAGCCGACGACACTTTGACTGCCTTACTTACTTCACCGAGCGTACTTCTTCCTATGGAGGTGGAGTTGTCATATGGTGGGGTTACTGATAAGAGTCGTATGTAGATATCATCATTCATCGTACACAGCACTAAGGGTACATCTGCCTCTCTAAGTTCATGACACATTAACCTGTTTGTAAGTACTTTAAGCCAGTAATTTGCACTGTCAGTGTCCGGAGTGAGGGCTGTTGCACAGTCCGTTGGATGAGTGTGGCGTGAGGGGTTCTCGTAAACAATAAACGTGCGTGAAAACAAACGTGGAGGACAGGGCATGCAATACCATCTGGCGACATCACCTGCGCTTGCTGAGTCTCCGCGGAAACTTGGATTCTTTCTTCTCCTCCTGAACACTCGCATGCCTGGCGACCTTTCGTCCGAACCAAGAACTTCCACGACTAGGCTGACTCTCCGGTTCCTCCCTGACATTGGTAACACCGCCGCCAATGGTATTTCGCTTCTTCACGAGCTTCGGCTCCTTCTGCAGCATAGGAATTTCCTGAGCCCTGACATGTGCGTCAAACTGGACCTTCTTCTCAGGCTGGAAAGGTCGATGGCGGTCCAGGTAGATTGGTCCGGCAGCCCGCGGAGCAGGCGACGTTGTCCCTTGAGGAGTTTCTTGCTGAGACTGAAGGGGCAAAGGCATGACCAATCGTTTCGGAAGGTACGACGGCGCAGGACGTGGAGGCATCTCCGGTGGAATGGGTCTATTCTGAATCTCAGCCGACGGTCTTTGGACAAATCCCGGGATCGGGGCAGATGGAGGTAAAGAGATGTCGGGAGGTGGAGGTGGTTGACGGGGCTTCGAAATGGGCATTCGGGTGGGCACAGGCATGGGTGGACCTCGCCGAGGAGACACATGCGAATGTGCAAAAGGCGGTTGGGGATGAGGATTGGGCAGAGAGGGAACAGGATAGGGGAGTTGCTGTCGATCTGGAGGCAACGGCTGCAACGGGGGACGGTGGCTGATGGGAGCGTTAGGTATGTGGGCAGTCATGCCTAGGGGCAGGGGCGGGTTGCCATGTGCATTCTGGGGACCCGGAGGTGGCTGAAGATGGGAAGGACGGGCTTTATGCAGACGGCCGTCACGTGGCAGCTGAGGGTTTGGCACCGGTGGGGTATGTCCAGAGACATCCGGCAACTGAGCAACTGGATGGTTAGGAGTGGAACGATAGCCAGGATGTCGGCGTCCGTCTTGGAAGCCATTTTGCATATGTTCATCATAAGAACCGGGTTGAGGAGGGGCGCCCAGCGTAGCCGGACGTTGAATGGGTCGAGTATGTTGTTGAGGAGGATACATATAAGCTGCCGTGGGTTGCCCAGTAAAGCCCTTGGGCACGATCTCGCCGACAGAATAACTGGTAGGCTGGAGATTCGGGTGACGAGGGCCTCTCATCTGGGCAGAGGTTAGTAAGCACAACCCCAACGAAGACCGCACAGAAATATCGACGAACTTCAAATCCTGAACCGCCGGGATCTTCCCGTTCCTTGCCCACGTCTCGCCTGGGATGCGGAGAACCATGCGAGGCGGAAGCCAGCCGGCGATTGATTGCTTCGTACGGGCCCCCGTGATGGAGAGTGACACCCAGCGGATTCGTGACATCCAACTCATCTATCCGATCTAAAGCTCGCGGATGTACTTTCCTCTTCGGGCTCGCCCGCCTCGATGGGCCTTGGGCTTCATCGCTGCGAGCACGCGTGGCGTCACGCATGTCCGGCTCGGACGAGCTAGCGACATACGCTGGTCGATCGACAGGACGCTGCAGCTCCGGGGCGGACGCGTTGCGAGAACCAGAAGGCTCACGACTGCTGAGCCTAGTCAGGTCAAACGAGATCGGTTCATATACGACCGATGGCTGCGATTGGGAAGGCGTCACGGCGACGCTGGGTTCAGTGAGGGAAGACGTCGATGCGGAAGTCATGGAGGGGGTCATCGAGCTGCTAGAAGTGGAGGGAGTATACGCAGGCGGTGGTTCCAGCGGCAATGGTTCCCCGTCCTCCATCCTATCCGCCGAACCCTCGTTCGTGACATGGGGACTGACGAAACCCTTCTTATCCGGTTTTTCCTTCATGGGAAGCTTTTCGGCGCGATGAGAGATGAAGTAGGGATTGGAGTAGGGGTCGGAGGAAAATGCGGGATCGTTGGTAACTCGTAGAAGACTGGGTAGAGGTCTCGGCGGCGGCGGCGATGTAGACGACCCTGCGGAACTTGATGCTGCCATGGAGAGCTGGTCGGACTGACGCCTTGCATCTGCGGACTGGATATCGGGGTTGGTAGGATATATACCATCATATGGATCTTCCTCTGCTATTCTGGTCGCATCCGAAGCCTCGCTCGGAGCGATATTAGGGGACCACACTTCATATGTTCGCTGCGCAGTGTTGCCTCCAGGGGCCATCGACATAGATAGCAAACGCTTGTATCTGGGAAGGCCAAGAGATCGTAACGTTGCGGAGGAACAGTCGTAGAAAAGGGAGATGACCGGAGAGGACTAGAAAGCGGGAGACGCACGGCTCTAAAGCTGAGGAGGACGGCCAGGGCCAATCGACCGTGACGTCGCCGACAATTGGGGACAGTGGTGCTCTCTTTGGACAATACCCGTGACAAACGTCACACTTGCGTCACAATAAGTCCCCCCTGTCCACGAATAGCCACGAATACGACGCAGAAACGAAGCAGAATATTAGCATCCCAAGAATACTGCGGAAGATTCGACAGAGGAGTGCACCCATGGGCGACCAAATATACTCGACAGTGGAAAGGGATTGATCTACGACTTTCAGTGCGAGGACTCACGTTATGCCGAAACCTGTGAGCTCGCCCGGGTAGCAATTCAATGCATCACGCAGCACTCGCCTCGAGGTTTGAAGATTCCGTGGATTTGATGCTGTGAGCAAGCCATAACGGTATCTTGAAGCATCGCTAAGGGGATAACCTCGATATATCAACACGGTGGTTCGTCGGTATTACTACTCCTAGATTGCTCTAGACGGTCATCTCCGAGGTTGACGGTACTCAAAATCTCCTGTATCTCTTGAGATGGCCAAGTGACGTCCATCCGAAGGCAATAGTAGAGAGCATAATAAGATTCAGGGGCCAAGCTAGCAGTTTGTGACGAAGGGCAGATCCGGCGTCATCTGTGAGGCGACAAGATCGAAACGACAGCCTAGTGTTTCGTATTTCCTCCAGGTAGAGATTTTCTGAGTTTCAACCGAGCAAAGTCATAAAGCAACAGAATATATAAGAGCTTCATAAAGTTCTGGTCACTGGAGAAAAGGTAGCAGCGCCTGCCAAACGCGTCCATCACGTGGTTAGTGCTCACTACACGTGACCGTGAATTATCGAGACCCGGACCGAGCATTGCAACGCTGCCGCAGCGAACCACAACGCGTCGACAACGCGTCCGCGTCAAACCACGTCTTCACCATGTCTGATAACATTGCCCAACTGCGCACGGAGATTAAGACCTGGGAACGCGACTTCAAGCAGCAGCACGGACGCGCGCCGTCGGTACAGGATATCAAAGATGAACCGGGCATGGGTGCGTCTTGCCTAACAGCTTTGTGAGGCATCCTGACCTTTCCACGGGTTCACGGTAGCCGAGAAATACAAGCTTTACAAACGATTGACGAAGACTGCGACATTCAGTGCTCCTAACGCGAAGAGTAGTTCGTCAGATCCCCCCTCGACCCCACCCCGTTCTCAACCGGGATCTTCCCGAGCATCGGTCATACTCCCACCCAAAGGGCGTGCCGTGCATGTCGCACCGCCAAGTTCGACAACCAATCCATTTTCTCCAAGCAAGAAAGGGAAGCAGAAAGACAGGTCGCATGTATTTGTACGCGATGGAGAGCGATATTCCAATCCATTCGCCACGCCGACCAAGTCGAAGGTCGTTCGGAGAGCTGCGTCTCCCGACCCATTCCCCCTAATCCAACCAGCACAACCCTCGACACCTAAAGATCTACATCCTCATGATCCTAAGAATCGGGCCGTCGAGCGAGCTCGTAAACGTCTTCGTGGCGAACCGGTGTCACCATCACCTGTCAAGGAGAAGCGGCAACGCGTCGGAACTCAAAGCGTCCTGCCATTCGGCAAACTATATCAGTCACAATTGCCTTTGAGTGACGAAGAAGAAGACAGCAAGCAAGGGTCGACGGACCCGTCCTTCATCTTTGATACACCTGCCAAATCGTCAACTAACGGCAGATCCTTCAAACTACTCTTCGACGAGGCACCTACACAGAACGAGAGCAGTGTGAAACCCAGGACGGCCCTATCCAGGTCCAAGACAGTACCTAACAACGGCCATTTGTTCCCAGAGCAGAGAAATAAGCTCAAAGCAGCCGCTGCGCACGGCGAAGACATTGCAACACCCGTCCCGTTCTCACAACCACTTCCTGGGAGTCGCACTCATAAAGCAAGCCAGAGTGGAGCAGTGCAAGCCAAGAAGCCACCGAGGATGAAGCAAGCGCTGCTGAATGGGTTTATGCCGGCCAAAGACGACCTCTGGGCAGCTGCGGAGCCGTCGACGGCACAACTTTCAGAAAGTTCAGCCTCAGCTGGGAAATCCGGAACCGAATCACCGCTCTTGCGGGGATCGTCGAAACGTCCACATGCAGATGCAGAACTGGAGTCCGAGCAACCAGGAGTTGGCCAGACTGGAACGGGGATATCACTCATACCCCCATCTCCTCCTCAGAACCCGTCCAAGTCTTATAAGGGGAAGCCTCCGGGGAAAGGCGCAAGCAGGAAGAAGGTCAAAGTCGTCAACGATGCAGAGGAAGACGATGATAGTCCCGAGGAGCCAGACGTCCGTGTTAAGGTGTCCGATTGGAGTTGGAACCGATCGAAGTCGCAAGCTCTCCATACTGATATTGAGGACCGCGACCTCGATGACCCTGTGCTTGGCCTTGCATCGCGTCCTACGCGAAATGAAACACCAGTTGCGGACAGCCTTATCCACGAGGAAGCTGGGGAGTTCGAGGTCGACCTGCCGGATCATCTTAGATCTGTGCTATCTATATCGCCCTCCAAAGGAAAGGATCGGAAAGACGACGCTGTCGTCCGAGAACTCCTGTATCGGGAGCGCGTTCGTCACTATGACCCGTCTAAAGGAGGTGAGATATGGGATGTCGGCGAAGGGGACGATGACACGAAGGCTAGTACCGAGGGTGAGGATGACTGGGAGGGAGAACCCATACCTTGGGAGGCGGGGGAATTGTGATCCTGAGAGTTGTGTACGTCAAATACCGTCAGGAACATTTTATTGATATCCATTTCCAAACTTCGCGCCAGAGTACGCACCTTTGCGGATTGAGAGTTAGCCTCCCGTGCTACTAACACGTGTCCGGGCCATATAGACACGATGAAGGTGACGAGCCGTTTTTGCACGCTGAAACCTCGTTGTCCACTCGTGCGCGGTGTGGCTTTCATATCTTCTGTGAAACGGATGCCATTAATCAATGCGAACGGGCCTATCGCCACTTGAGTGTGTAGATGCATTGGATGGTTCAGTCCATGGCTCTGCTAAAGTGCGGATCGGGGACGCTGATTATGCCACCTTGAACAGGATAACGTGCCCAGCTCACCTGGACCTCGAAGTGGGCATACATCCGCGGTGCGCTCTGCCTACAGATCCGCTGCACGCATGACCCATGGCATGAAGCCCATAAATTTAGGTATAGAGGCGTGTCCAGCAGCGCTCCTCTGTTTTAAGCAGCTAGCAGGGAGCACGATACTGCGTCTATGTCGTTCATCCCCGACATCCTCTCTCGCAACCTCTCCTTCCGCGGTCGTCGCTCCCGCACGTCATCCCGTCAGTCGTCCTACATATCTTACTCCGTGTACCAGCAAGCGATGGCGTCCTTAATCATCCTGCGGGACCCGGATGCGACGAAGAAGTTGCTCGAAACCATCTTGGACATGCCAGGTGGAAAGCGGTCTCTCAGTAGGCTCGCGAGAACCTGCAAAGGCATATGTGAGGCAGCACTTAACGTGCTATGGAAGGAGCTGGACTCCCTAGTGCCTCTCATCGGATTATTCCCGAACCACCTGCTACGCAGGACTCGGCGACCAGGCTTGGGCTTGGTACGTATTGATTGAACGTATTACTTTCTCGTTATTTATGAAGAGAATCGCAGACCAAGCCTCCCGCCGAAGGTGATTGGGACAGGCTGCTTTCTTATGGGAAACGCGTCCGGCGCATCGCATACAACGAGAGCGCGAACAACGTGGCCGCATCCATATTCCCCATCATCGACGAATATCGTCCACAGACTTACATTTTGCCGAACCTCACGTCCCTTACGTGGCGCGCCGACACCGCTGCCGGTTTGGAGAGGTGTCTCCTTTTCTTGACACCTGATGTGAAGACGGTCGTCTTCGAGATCAACAACAAGGTGTCGAATCTCCCTAACGTCTTAATCCAGCTCTCCAATCGCACTCGTCTCCATTCACTGTCGTTCACCTCCCATACCGCTCTTCCTGACGATTTCACGGAGTTGCTCAACCGCCAGAACGCGTTAGTTAAGCTGTCGCTGAACGCCCCGGGAGCCTTGTCATCCACTGTAGGAAAGTGGGTCGCATCCCAGTCGAAGCTCCGCTGCCTCGAGCTCGACTTGACCGCAAGGTCCATCGTGGCGGTGGAAGGCTTTTTCGAGGAGATCAAACCGCGCTCGGGATACTCTACACCGAGTTCTGTGGGAGGTACGGATAGTGGTGTCTTCTCCGCGGATGAGCCAGACTTCTCAGATATCCGCAAGTCAGCACTTCGCCTGACTGGAGACGCTCCATTGAGGGGCGTATGCCCTCAGTTGCAGCAGCTCCAGCTGACTGGCGAGGCTGCGAATATCGCGGCGTTCATGAGACATCTCAACAGCCGGCTCGCATATCTGGACCTCGTGATAGAGGACCCGCCCGAGACCAACGATTGGCATGAGCTTGCCACGACGATCTGTGAACAGTTCGGCGGCTTTTTGCAGATCCTAAAGCTCAGCGCTACAGGTTCATCGAAGTTCTCCGAGCTCGTGCGATCGACAAGTCGAGACGTCCCTCTGAAGCCGCTGTCGTTGGAATATCTAGCATTCTTGCCCAAACTCCATCGGCTCGACATCGACCTTCCGGAGTCTGTCATCTTCCACGACGCAGATCTCGCGCACATAGCACGGACGTGCCCCGATATCGAAGTTCTCCGGCTATGCCCGCTGGCGAAGTTCACTACGACTCCTCCTAGTCTCACTTTGGAGGGATTGAAGCCTTTGACGACAGAATGTCGACGACTGCATACCTTGGGAGTCGTGATAGACGCGAGAGCCGCAGTGATAAGGGACGACGAATCCATCCAGTCGTCAAGGTCTCTTCTCCGATTGCACGTCGGTCATTCCTGGATCAAAGACCCTTTCCAGGTCGCCATGATCCTTAGTGATCTCGCGCCTCATCTGGACATCCTGAAGTGGTTCCAGGAGAAAAACCGTTCCGTAGTCGAGGAGTACGCCAGGGCCTGGCAACAAGTCTCAGAGTTCCTCCCTCACTTGCAGAATCTCCGACTTCGCGAACGGCGGAAGGCGGCTGTGGCGAAGCCAATCACAGTGGAGGTCCCTGTCCCTGTTCTTCCACCTAGGCCAGAGGTTCGGGAGCAGGCTGTCGATGCGACGGTGATGATGATTAATCAAGGAGTACTAGCCCGGCCGCGACTTCACGAGGTTTCGGTGCAGTCCTCGCCTGAGACATCAGACGAGGGAGTCGAAGCCATTCCCGAGGTCTCCTCAATATCCATCGATGCTACGCCAGCTGTCCAAGACGAAGGCGTCCTCGTTGTACCCTCGGTTTCCGAAGTTGCCGTCGAAGTCCACCCAACCACATCCTCCGCTGTTGTGGACGCCACATCCCATCCAAATTCAAAGTATGTCGAGACCGTCGATACCGCGGATTCCATGAGTGACGGCGATCTCTCGACGTCGTCGTCATCGTCATCCGAGGATTTACTCCGACCCACCTTCAGGATTCCGTCTATCAACGGGATGTTCACGCTCGTTAAAGATGTTTTCGTTTCTTATCCGCTTTATCTATCATTACGACTCCTCAACGTTTCGCTCTTGACGCTGGGAGCCAGAACAAGAGACGCAGAAAAATCAGAGGCAATCTCAGAAAAGTTGGAGACACCGGCGGGTTTGATCGCATCGCCGAGCCCAGCAGTGACGGACCTCGTTTCTCCTGTCGGTCTATAATCCCTTCTCGTTACGAACTCTATGCTCATGTATATCACGGTGCTGGCCACTAATGTAGGGACGACATGATTATGACTATGATGATTCCACCCACCCTTCAGACGTAGTGTCCGGAGAAGCATCCTTATCGGCTAGCGAAGTGACGGACAAACAGGACACCTCCCACATGCTGAAAGACGAGATAAAACCCCCCAAGTTAGAAGAAAAAGTAAGCTGGGCAGAAGAAATCCGACTACCAGGAGGACAGAGTAAAGCAGCGCGATTACAAGTTGTGAGCAGAGCCACCGATCGTGTGGCAATCTTGCCTTCGGACGCAACAGCTGCAAACAAAGACGCGACGCGTCACTCTACTTACACTAAGTCCGCGCAAGCCTCCAGCTCGTACTCAAAGACACTATACACCATGGCCGACCCTAAGAAGAAAGAGAAAGATTTCACCGCCGAGGTCGACGCTATCTTGCCGGAGGCGACGTCCATAGCTAAGGTAGGCCCTGCTTGAGTGAGCGAAATCCGTAGCACCTAATACGTCTTCTAGTCGGGCAAGTTGCAGGACGCGGTCGATAAGCTTCTCGTACTAGAGAAGCAAACGCGAAATGTACGGTGGTTTGCTCATGAAGGCCCTACCCTCGTTAACATATCACGTCCTTAGGCTTCGGACGTTCAGTCCACTACACGGCTTGTGACCACGGTCTGCGAACTATGCTATGAGGCTCGGGATTATGCTCTGCTGAACTCGAATATCAACATCTTGAGCAAGAAGCATGGACAGTTCAAGGCGACTGTTCAAGCCATGGTGGAGCGCGTCATGGAATGGCTGGAGGAGATTAGGGAGAGGGAAGGGATAGAGAAGTGGCTAGAACTGGTTGAGACATTGCGGAGCGTGACGGAAGGAAAGGTCAGTTATAAGTGTGTCCCCCGTCTGTACGGTTCCTAACCTCGTTCTCTGTAGATCTTCTTGGAGACACCTCGAGCACGCGTGACTCTCCTACTTGCCCACTACCATGAAGCACTCTCGAAAAAACCCACATCCACATCCCCTTCTCCAAAAGACTCCCTCCAGACCGCCTCTGACCTCCTTTCCGAGCTTCAAGTCGAAACATACTCTTCGATGGAGCGGCGAGAAAAGACCGAGTTCCTCCTGGAGCAAATGCGTCTGCTGATCGCTGTGGCGAGGCAGAAGGACTCGGAAGTTGACAAAGACAAGAAAGAGTCACTAGCCGGTGGTGATGCTGAGTGGGTCAAGGTGAAGGTGGGCGGCAGGAAAGTCAATGAGGAGTTCCTGAAGGAAAAGGAAAACGAGGTATGTCATTTAATCGAGTACCTTGTCTTACATGGGTGCTGACGTCCTCCAGGATCTCAAACTGAAATACTACGACCTCATGATTCAACATGCCCTGCATCATAATGCATACTTGGATTGTGCCAAGTACTACTACAAAGTATGGGAGACGCCGTCAATAAAAGAGGATGAGAAAGGGAAGGGCCGCGCGGTGAGTGGCCTCTTTCCTCTGAGTGTCCCGTCCTTTACTCAGTGATAACTGCAGGCATTGGAACATATTGTGTACTATATCGTGCTCGCTCCCCACGACAATGAACAATCTGACATGCTGCACCATCTGTTCGTCGACCCGGCTTTGTCAAAGCTCGAGTTACAATAGTAAGGCGCTTTTACTCATTGTGAATCCTATGGGCCGCTAACCATCTTACATCATGCAGCAACCTCGTGAAATGCTTCACCACGCCTGAATTGATGCGATGGCCCGGGATCGAGAGCATATATGGACCTTTCTTGCGGACCACGCCCGTCTTCAGCTCTGATTCACGGTGGGAAGACCTTCACACCCGAGTCATTGAACACGTAAGTTTATGACCCATGGTATTTCCAAGCGAGTTACTGATCTATCATGCAACAGAACCTCCGCGTCGTGGCACAGTACTACACGCGTATCAAGCTTCCGAGACTAACAGCCTTGCTTGACCTTACTCCTCAACAAACCGAGGAGACCCTGTCTCGGCTTGTGGTGTCTGGCACGATCTGGGCTCGGATCGATAGGCCAGCAGGCGTCGTGAACTTCCGGGCAAAGAGGAGTGCGGAGGATGTTATGAACGATTGGAGTTCAGATATGCAGAAGCTGCTGGGCCTGGTCGAGAAGGCGTGGATGGGTATGAATGCCGCTCAAGCTGCACAGTCTAGAGCGAAGGTGTCGGCATAGGAGTAGGGGTTGATTGTATCTATAGCATTTTTCACGGACTTCATAATTTTCGCTGTCTTGTTGGACGTTCGATAGGATCATGCAGTGGGAGATGAAGCGAACTTCTGCATATGCAGTGGCCGCTACCGGGCCATAACACCTATGAAATCCGATTTTTCCTCCACCGTGCGTTCAGCCTCTGTGATCTCTGGAGATGTAAGCACGGGAGCATAATCTGGTCGTATCCCCTCCTTCCATAGCCTGACGTACTCGCGTCCCTTCGTGAACTCGGTGACAGGGCCGTCGCGCTCGACAATGGCTCGCCAGCGCTTCCGAGATGCCATTGCACTGAGATCCTGCTCTTCCTTCTTTCTCCACGTCTCCAGAGCCTTCGTCTCCTTCTGGAACAGGATATCGGTCTGCGTCACGCCGAACCGGGCACCGTGCTGCTCAGCCTCCTTGGCCGCCACAAGAGTTGCGACGTAGTGCTCTGAACGGAGCGCGCGGAACTGTGCTACGGCGGCGATGTAGGCCTGGTTTAGGGACAGACTGTGATGTCGATGCAGGGTGAGGGTAAACAGGATGCAGCTAGCGAATACGAGTTCGATTCAGACGAGCGTAGGTAGTTGCACTAAGAACGCACTCTTCTGGCGAGGGATTGCGCCCTCTTTGCCGTAGCCGCGTCCACTCCTTACCTCGGATGGGATGTTCATCTCGAATGGCCCCTCCCTCGGTCAGCGTTGTCGGCCTGAAGGCCTCGAATGGATGGTCACGGAAGAACTGTCTTCGAATCTCATCCTCTAGGTAGATAATAGGAAGTACTTTCGGGTCTTGCGGACGCGAGGACGAGGTCCTTGCAGGACGGTCATCGCCAGTTCGAGTCGGCGGTGCCCTCGGAGGTAGAGGCAAAGGAGGGTGGTCAAGGACAGCTTGGAACCATGCGGGACGGTCCTTGAGGTAGTTGCCTTGCAGCAGTCGAGACGCCTGTTTGTGTACCTGCGACGCAATCCGGCGGACCATCGCTGCGAGCGTGCTGCTGCTGGCGCACAAAGTCCAAATTTCGACGGCCACGGTGGCTAAATATAGCCTCGCGTCGATCGCGTTCTCTGTATTTAGCCCGTACGCATATACATCTAAAGGTGACTCAATATCTTCCGCTGGCAGTGATCTTCTAATATACATAAGGATAGGACAGCAGCATTGTATCTTCCTCTTTGGACAACGCGCCACCTTCTCTCACCATGTCAGCGCTACTCGAACCGCCACGAATGGTTTAGCGAAGCGCCATATTATAACTTGGACTTGATGGTGACAGGCGATTTGCTCCTCAACGCTTTCGCTTTATCTCTGAGGACCCGTCTAAGCAGCTTGCCGCTGGGATTCTTCGGTATGATGTCCACAAACTCGACCCCACCTGCGAGGTGCTTGTAGTTCACCTTATGATCTGCAACATGCTGCACCACTCATGTTACCGCTGGATCTCCTGCCACTATGCGTCGCGCGTACCTTTATGATGGATGCTTTCACCTTCTCTGCTTCGGTGGGATCGTTCTTTATTCTATCCAGAGCCTTCACATGTGGCACCACGAAAGCCAGGGGAACCTCGCCGCTGTACTCGTCAGGGACACCAACCACGCAGCAATCAGCTACGTCAGGATGGGCCAGGAGGTGTCCCTCGAGTTCAGCAGGTGCCACTTGGTAGCCCCGAACTTTCATGATTTCCTACGTGGATCCAGGTCAGAAGGGGCATCATAGCTACACGCAAACCTCACCTTCAGTCGATCCACGACAAAAAGCTCCGCTTGTTCGTCCACCAGCACTTCATCGCCAGTGCGAACCCATCTGCACGAGATATCAGCGTCCGGGACATCTAGCTATCGTTACTGAGACCGCACCCGTCAATGAAAGTCTCTGCCGTCCTGTTTCGAGGAGCATTAGTGACATCAAGACGTCTCAGACAACCCTCACTCACGCCTCGGGATTATTCAAGTAGCATAACGCGTTGGCAGGAGACTTGACGACCAACTCGCCAAGCTCCCCGGCCTTTGCCAAGGAGCCATCTTCCTTCACAACTCGGACGACGATCCCAGGCATTAACTGCCCAGCACTACCCAGGACGCCGATCTTCTGGTCGGTAGGGATCATGGCGACCACGGTACAAGTTTCGGTCATTCCTAAGAGGAACTATCAGGCTACAGACGTTCGGCAAACATCGTTCGCGCTAGCATACCGTATCCTTGTCCTACGTCGGCGTTGGGCAAAATCTTAACGAGGTCCTCCGTAAGCTCCTTTGACACGGGCGCAGCCCCAGCCATACAGAAGCGGACGTGGCTCAGATCATAATTCTTTGTCGCGGGGTGCTAACGTAGACGGTCAGCAGTTGTCGCATCTACTGGCCATTTCAGGTACTACCTTGCACAATAATACGATTTGTGGGGGTACCAGGCTTCACATCTATCGTTCCAGACAGACACAAAGTAGAGTCCAATTGGAGAACTCACAATAAATGGACAATACGGTACTTGACTATGCTCTTAAGCATGTTCTCAAAATTGAATCGCGGGATGACAACCGTGGTGACCTAGGTACGTCGTTAACGAGTTTTTTCCTGCCGAAGCGGGAGTCAGCGGTACTCACAGCACTGTATAACATGAAATGAAGCTAGGCCAGATATCAAATTAGCATGGCATTTCTTAATGCACAGGTTTGCTTACGTTTACAACAAGACCATAGATGTCTTCGGTACGCAAGATTGGGATTCAGCAGTGACGGTGGAGCTTCTGCATTCACTTACGGTACATAGGCAATACTTACCCGATTGTGAGGCTTTATGATGAACGACACAGTTGCATACTCACCTAGAATAGCGACATCGCCTGGTCTAAATCGTCGCTTCTCCCATGGAGCATACTCTACGTTGACCTTGTGGTGTACCGCCATCTGAATCACATTCGCTATAGGCGCATAATGTGGTATAGCGACTGCCTACAGTGACGTATTAGAGCTTCCGTTCTGTGCAAGTGATCCAGGGGTCGTGCAGTACCTTGGGTTTACCGGTCGTGCCGCTAGAGAAGCTGAGGAAAGCCAGCTTCTTCTTCGCTTCCCCTGGGGCGAGCCGTCGTTCGACGAAACTCGGAGTCTTCGTAAGGCCAACGTCGATGAGGTGTTGCACCGTACGGTGCCGGCCCTGAGAAGCATCATCGAAGAGCACTATGCGGTCAACTGGGATCCCAGCAGAGCTTGCAGCAGTGATCGCGGTTGAGAGGGAGTCAGGATGTACGATGAGCAGCTTGGCTTTCACCAGCTCAACCTGGTATGCGAGCTCGTCCGCAGTGTAAGAGGGATTGGCACCCCTGCAGCGGAGTCAGGGCGGGAAGTGTAGCTCGGTGACAGGCACTTACGAGATGACGGCACCCAGACGGTGAGTCGCCCATATGGCCACGGGATAGTCTATATCAGATTCTCTCAATGCAACGAATCCATGGAAGTATACATTGCTCACTCACCAACATGGTTCGGGCTGTACAGGCAGACTGGGCAACAATTGAGTAAACCACGCCGATCTCACAGACGCAGGAAGCGCACCGACGTCATCCTCTTCTACGGTAGTTCATCAATGAATAGAACCCTCGTGCGTGTTGCAACAATAGGACGTACTGATGTTGAATTCGGAGTGCAAGCCATTGGCCAGCCCGAACACCCTCGCCCGGATCTATGCATTAGCTATCAGTTCCTACGCCTCCATCTCTCGTTCGGTAACAGTGGACGAGGATAGTCACTGGAGCCTCGGAAGCAGAGAACGAGCACCACTCCACGCCCGCCAGGAGTGCGGACCCAGTCTGCTGCACTTACCTCCTCAGACCCGACTCTTCTCCCCGTGGTGTCCTCAATTAGCCACGGCACGCCGTCAGGCCTCAGCGGTCTAGACGGGTGATGGACATCAAGCATGAACTGCGCGAGCGTCAAGTCGTCCGGGATGTGGGGCATCGAGTGCACGGGCCCTCGTCGTTCCACCATGGTGAACCTCGGATTGACACTCGTTGCTCGTCGGCGCCGTTCGAGTCGCCAGGAGTGCGGGGAAGCGCGCGGGGTCGCATCGGGCCTCATGGCCACGTTCGGTGTTTAAAGCACTGAATCCTTCGGTGCTCACATGATCGCGGCTAAAGGGGTCGCCCTCTGGATTCCGCCGTGTAGAACGTTGTCGAGGCGCGGTTTGGATGGCAATTAAACATCTGATTTTGCTCCGACTTGTTTTCTGTAATGGTCGGGTTACGCGGAAAGAGGAATAGGTGGTAGCAAACCGTAGATGGCCGTGATGCAGACAGAGATCCGTAAGAGTAATACTTGGACTAGATATTGGATGCCCCTATATGTCGTGCAGGTGATCGATACGCAGAACTTCTAACTCTCAGCTCGCAATTCATCCAAAACCCTCCAATACCCAGCAGACAGGAGAGCACGCTGTGATCATTCACCTCTGCTCATCGTGCACACCTCTGCTCATCGTGCACATACGGCATTTGTCAGTAATGCTGAACATGTACAACGGCTGTGATTAGCATGCATATTTCTAGGAACACCTGAGTACCAGCAATTGCTACGTGTACCTCTACCCGGATCAGGTATATCATGTACGCCATCGAGGACATTCCGTATTACGATAGAATAGCATTCTCGCTCTGGTTATCCGATATTATATTTAAGGAGATACGCCTGACGGGATGGCAGTCCTCATAGACACGCGACGGAGAATAGAAAGGGGATATCGGCCTACCAATTCCAGCGGTAGATTACGGCTCGCGATGGGAGGTATACAGCACCCAGGGGCCTGCCGGTCATTTGTCTGTTATGCGACTAGCTGGATTAAACGTTAACAGGGTTCTTCATGACGGGGAACACAGAAGTGGATATCGGGCACACCACGCCAGGGTGCCTAGCCAACTGCGAGAGAGTAGGGACGGCGGCCCTGGAATAACCAATGGCGAATGAATTATGTATGGGCGGAAGGAGCCGGTACTGATGGAGACTTCATTCCGCGACTCTTCAACAGAAGGAACGGACGGAGGAGAAGGGTGGCGATTGCCTTCATGGGCGGCCACGGAAATCCGACAACCAGCGGGTTCCGAGCATGCCCCATAGCCGTGGCGGTTGACTAGTCCATCCGGAGAACGAGGAGAACAAAATCTCCGCTTAGCAGACGAAATTGTCATTCCCTGGGCATCGAGGCTCGAGCGACCTAGGAAAGCAAGCGGTAGGACCTCCACGTGAAGTTGGAGCATCCACCGAGGCATGCAAGGGAAGCGCGGAGGATGTCGCCTAATTTTATCTGCCTTCCTGGCATTCAGACGACATCTTAATGTGTCCGCACAAAGCTAGCGCCGTCCGCGATAATCTGGCATAACATCCTCCGTACGGAGCTGATATCGGATGCACTGAAGCTCTAAAAAGGTTATAGAGATCGGTATCCGCTAGAAATCGACTTGCCTTGATTCGCTGCCTGTGTTTAGCACGGACGAGGTAGGCGCAACGGTAGTTCCATAGGCGGATCTCCATTTATCCCTGGAGTCGTGCAGATTACGGACTGGACAGGGAGAGATTTACGCAGATGGACCAACGTGGAAAGAGTATCCCGTAAGGAAGAGTGCAGGAAAACGGTTTCGAGGCGGGTAATACCCTGAGAAGCGGTGCCCGGCACCCATCAGAGCAAATAGGGTGGCGCCCGAGTCGTTCGTTTCCCGAAGCGACCGTCATCATGGAAGGGGAAGAAACATGCAGCTTACGCCCGGAGGCCTGCGGGGATATGACATAAAACATCGACGCAGTGAATTCCAATAGAACGACGGCGAGCTCACCAAGGGTTACCGATATACCAGCGGCGGCGCCCTGCAGAAATTCGAGCGCAGCTGGAAGCAGGAGAGAATGACGGCCTACGTTGGCAACGGAGGATATTCGATTGGACCAAGGACGCTGGGCACATGGCCTGGTTGAATGATGGAGGCGGGATTAAAGTAGAGCGAGGAGGCCGAGTATGTACAGCGACGGGCCAAGCAGCAGAAGGATCTGGTCAGAACGAGCGATGGACAGATCTCGCGGACCTGCGTCAAGCTGACAAGATTATCTTATCAGCGCCGAGGCCCCAGCCAATCACGCGCGTTATCTTATCCATCGCCAGGGCGGAGCAACCGCCACATCCCGATCGCACCGTGTGAAATTCGTGATCCAGCTGCATCCCGGCCAGACCACCAGACCCCGCAATTCCCTATAAAAGGCGGCCCAGAGCACCCCTCTCTTCAGGCTAACAACCACACACTACTCCCTCGTCCCCTACAGAACACACCTCACAATGGTGCGCCGCCGTTGCCGTCCACGGTGTTGACGGCCGTGCTGACCCTGTCCTGCAGCCCGGAAACGTCAAGTGCCAGACCAACACCAGCGAGTGCTCGTGGCCCAACTGCGCGTGCGGCGAGCCCCCCAAGAACCAGAGCCAGCAGGGCTGCGGTTCCTCCTCGTGCAGCTGCGGCGCCAGGTAGGCTTTATGTGTTTCGTCTTGCCCCACACGCGCTCACGCCTGCTTGCTAGCTGCTCCTGCAAGGCCGGCGAATGCAAGTGCTGAATGCTCGGCGCGCACTTGCGTCATGTAACATCTTCGCGCGGTTTGATGTAGGAGACACGGGCAGATGAATTCGATTTGTATCACTACACGCATCTATCATAACGACCGAATGTTATACGGCTCTCCTCCATCTAAATATCGTTCATGCTCACCTCGTGCTTCTGGCCAAACTCAAATAACGTACAAACAGACTCAACGCCCCAGATAAGAGCTAAGATTGCATCTGCTCGCCAAATGGATCTGCGGATTGGTCCATCATCTGCCCTCCGAGCAGCGCGTCTGCGTCTTGCAGCTGCGACATATCCTGCGCGGCTTCGAAGGACGTTCCGTCTGGCGGGAGTTGCGAGAGATCCAGGCCTTCCGCGTTCTCCGTAGTCATCTGCACGGAGATGTCGGCAGTAGCGTTCATATCATCCACGAGCGGCTTTAGCGAATCGTCCAAAATATCATTGGCCTCCGCCGCTGGGGCCGACGAGGGTACTTCCAGAGATAGCGTATTCTGTGTTTTCGGCGACTTGGCAGCCGACTCGTCTTCCTGACCACTCGCTGCCGTCGCATGGGCTGGAGGCGCTTCAGGAGGTACAGAAGGTGGAGGAGCCGTTTCCTCTTGCTCTCCTTCCTCGTCACCCTCCACAACTTCTGGTTCGTCCGGCAAAGGCGCTAACGGCGCGTCAACCTCGCTCTCGTCGTCACTGAATTGCTACGCACATAGAATAGTCAGAAAAAGTGTCAATATATTTTGTTTCATCGGATCGCACCTGCACTTTGTCCGTCTTGACCCACTTGTATACTTTAAGGGTCGAACCAGGCGGCGCATTGTCAGGCTTCGTCCAGACCCTCTCCCAGCATGGGACGGGCGCCATGAGCTGCCGCCGCGCGGCTTCCGAAGTTGCAATGCTAACGCCAATTCTCCGTCTGGTAGCCATTTTTGAGGAGTGTACTGAGAAAGAGAGAGTACTTATAGGCGGTTCTTCGAGTAACTTGGTTTCGGAGAGATGAGATGTGACCGTGACCGTCGCGTCCGTCACTTCAGCACGCGTGCCCTGGATTTTGCCACAATCTGACGCTACCGGTTCCTCCGAGGCCGCCGTCCCCATCCTAAGCCCGTGTCGAGTCCAGCAACCATGGAGGACGAAGAAGCTGAGCTCCGCAACCCCTTCCCCTCACCGCCGTCCCACTACACCCGCTACACCTCCCACAACCTGAATCTCCTGGCCCTCCTCAAGGAACGCGCCATGGCCGACGACCTCGCGCAAGTCAACCAGCACGCGCTCCTGTCCGACCAGCCCGACGTCCCCGACTGGCCGCTCGCCGAGCTCGAGAAGCCGCGCGCCGACTGGATCCTCGAGGAGGGCTCGTACACCGTCTTCGGGGACACTTGGTTCGTGCGTACCGCGGCTGCTGCTGTGTTCGCAGTTTGAGATGACGGGTGATATTAGTAGGTCAAGGAGACGATCCCCTCGCTTGCGGAGCTTGGCGGGCACCAGCTGTACCCCGCGGATCCCAGTGCTGGTTCGTGGCTTCTGAATTCCTGTCTGGTTTCAGGCTGAAGCTTCGCACCACAGATCGTAGACCAGCGTTGCTCGGAATTGTTCGCTCGATGCTCGTATCGTACTCCCAGCTTTTGAATGCGCTGCTGGTCCCGCCGCCTTCACTCACTTCGACCGAGCCTCCGGAATGGCAGAAATATGTCGAATGGATTACCGTCCTGGCACAGAACATCATGGCTGCTGCAAATGATCTTAGACCGGTGCAGGTATGTACGGAAGCATTCCGCAGAGGGCATGCTTCTAATCTGCATGTCGATCCCCCTGTCGTAGGCACGAGCTAGCTTGGAGCTTATGATGCAGCGACAACTGGAGCTCCGCAAAGAGGAGACACAAGCATTAAACTGGTACGGCTGAGCTCGACTCCGTGCACATCCTCTGTTTACACTTGGCATAAAGCAAATGCGACGAATTGGAGGCCAAGTTGACCGAGTTGCGCAATTCCGCCCGAAACGCGTCCTCTCTCAGTACAAAACTGGCGGAGATGACTCAGGTAGGCTCGTTTCAACTTACTGTGTTCGGCCGTCAACTCACCATATGCATAGTCATCGCCTTCCACAACTGCTGAGGTTACGGCAGAAGACGTCCTTCGCTGGGCTGAGGAGATTGGATAAGCCGCGACCCGAAGCCATGTAATCATAGCAATCTACTGTACAACACTGAGGCGTGAGATGTATAGATAGCACTTCATCATTCAAAAATCTGGAGCCACATGCCAGAGTACCAAGATGATGGAGACTTGCAGCCTACAGCTTGGGCTGGAATTTCGTTATTTTCCTAGCCTCCCTCGCCTTAGCTCGTAAATCCTTCCTCAACAACTTCCCGCTGGGATTCTTGGGTATCTGGTCGATAAACTCCACACCCCCAGCCAGTTGTTTGTAATTCGCCTTGGCATCCGCAACGTACTGCCAGGACCCCCGTCAAAATCACGGTACCGTGGCTACAACTGATGCCGCCTTACCTTCTGAATTGCAGCTTTAATGCTGTGTGCTGCGCTGGGGTTCCCTTTGATTTTCTCCGCGGTCTTGGGCTCGAGAACGACAAATGCCAGTGGCACCTCCCCGCTATATTCGTCCGGTACGCCAACTACGCAGACGTCGGCGACGTCGGGGTGGCCCAGGAGGTGGCCTTCAAGTTCAGCCGGCGCGACTTGGAATCCTCGGACTTTGATAAGTTCCTGTTATACCGTCAGGATTATTCCAGTCCACAGGATATACGTACATACTTTGATGCGGTCGACAACGAACAGGTCGCCATCATGTTTAATGAGGACCTCATCACCGGTCCTTACCCATCGCTTGCCGTCGATTTCGAGGAAAGTCTCCCTCGTTCTAACGAACCCCAGACATGACTCTCCTCTGTACGATACGGTCGAGAAAGGACTCACGCTTTGTCATCCTTGTAATACCCCAAAGTTACCTGTGGACCAGAGACTACGAGCTCCCCCGTTTCTCCGGCCTTTGCCAATGAGCCGTCTGGTTTGACTACGCGGGCGACAGTCCCGGGAACGAGCCGGCCAGCAGCGCCCGATCTCCCAACCTTCTGCCCTCTAGGCAGTATACACAGCGCCGTGGAAGTCTCCGTCAGGCCTGGATTCAAAGAGGAAAAGTCAGTGACTCTCCTTCAGCCTCAGCGGTTGCTTCACCCACCGTAGCCTTGACCGATAAAAGCTTGTGGGAAAGCGGCGGCGAGTTGTTCGATCAGTTCAGGCGCCAGCGGGGCGGCTCCACTCATTATAGCACGGACATGGCTGAGATCGTACTTCTTCACAATTGGGTGCTACATGTAGTTGGATGTCATATGCAGGGGTGAGTCTGCGAGACTGAGCCTCC